GAACACCCTGCATTTCATGGTATTTTTAGATTCTCCCTGAAGTGCTGATTTCATCAATGCATCACACTTGGGGTCTAGCGGGAATGATTACAGAGATATAGGGTGTTCAAAATCGAGATTTTTCAACTTTCGTATTTTTTTGTGTCGAAACTATTCATTATTGGTCAAAACGGCTACAATGTCCCTATCTCAACTTTCGATTTACTATCTACTGACATTTAATTGGAACATCTACAGTGTGGTTCAAGATTCAGAATTCTGATCACCCTGTATCTGTTTCAATTATTAGATGTCAGTACACAGTAAATCGAAAGCTGAGACACGGACATGAGAGCCGTTTTGACCGATAATGAATAGTTTCGTCACAGAAAAATCCTAAAGTTGAAAAATCGCGATTTTGAACACCCTATATCTCTGTAATCATTTTCGCTAGACCCCAAGTGTGATGCATTGATGAAATCAGCTCTTCAGAGAGAATCTAAAAATACAATGAAAAATAGGGTGTTCCATTTAAAAATATCAAATAGTACCCTGTAGATCGTTTGTTCCGAGCACCTTGTATTTTCTGATGTAGCGGAAAAAAACTCTATCGAAAATCATTGAAGATGATATTTAAAATTTTGCAATCGGTTCAGAAATAACTGAGCTAGAGGGGGGGACATTTATGGTGAATCACCCTGTACATCATATGAATGGTGGAGGAGCCAGGTTCCTCTTTTATTTATTTCTTTCTAAAGTGAAATTTGATCTTCTATTTGTAGAAGAATCTTCGTCTAGCAAGCCAGATAGCAAAGACGAACCAATGGAAGTTGGCGGGGACGAAGACTATTCCGAGGTGATGAACGACCCTGCTTTTCTACAGAGCGTTTTGGAGAATCTGCCGGGCGTCGACCCCCAGTCGGAGGCCGTTCGTCAAGCAGTCGGCATTCTCAAGGACAAGAAGAAGGACGACAAATCCGAAGACAAGCAGAAAAAGTAAATGTCTTTATTGAAATGATATACATATTCCGTTTCATCCGACAAGTAAAGTTTTTTGAATGAGTACTAGAGTCCATATTAATATTGAAATTATTTATTTTGGTATTTGATTTGTCTTGTGAAATAATTTGGGGTTTCTTCAACTTTTTACTGATGAATCTTACTTGGTCCACAGCATAAATTTTTTAAATATCTGAATAAAGTATACTGTTGAATGTGACCATGTTAGTTTGTTTTTTTGATAAAAAATTTAGAAACTGAGGGAAAATGCTATAGTTTTTTTATTAACATGAAAAAGTTAGTTTTTTTTAAGCCCTTACTTCTGGAAATAATTTCTATATCTGGGAAACCGCTGGGATTTCAGACTCGGAGCGGAGACTAAGGTCTTCTAATCCTGTCCCATTAACATTGGTATAGGAAAATCCATAGTGGAAGGAGAAGATGGTGTGCTCAACAGAAAGCTCAAACTCGTCTTGTTCTGCGCATGACGTCAGCTGGGATATAACTGTCATTGTTATTATTTGTTTTCGTGATTGATGTCTCTAACTTCAGATATTATATAAGTACTAAAATTGAATGAAATAATTTCGAAATGCCCACTTGTTTCGTTTCTGGTTATGGAAATTACAACTAACATACAAAAGGTACAGATATTTAATTGTTCTGCTTTTCCAAGAATGGAGACCTAATGAAACGATGGGAGCTTGCTGCCGACAAAATATAAACTCGAATAATGGTACTTACCTTATATTCCTTATATCCTCATTCCAAAGTATTCACCTATCATATTATCATCACATTCATATTACAGCACGTATTTCTTCAAAACATTTCCATGCAAAATGTTCCCAAACAACTGCGAAAGTACGGTTCTTGACTTACACCTCCAAAACATCACAAATATTTGAAACAAGATGCCATTCCTACAGAACATCTTCCGTCGAATATCAGGTCAGAAATAATTGAAAATGAATTAAAAACTCTTAATTTCTCACAAAATATAAATTGCAGCAAAGATTTGAATAACAAAACGGCAAAAATTGATACTCCTGTTGTCGATGTCGGAGCAGAAGCAACGTCAACGTAGTTAACTGTTGAATTTTAATCTGTCAGAATCGACACAGTAGTGGATCATTCAGATGGGATTGGTAATGCATGATAATTGATGGGGCGTTCCACAATCACCAACCTTTTGAATATTACTCAATATATTTCTGAAAGCATTGACAGACGATTGCAAGTTGATGTTGTATATACAGATTTCTCAAAGGCATTCGACAGGCTTGATCATGGACTATTATTATCGAAACTATACCGTTACGGATTTTCCTTGGCACTTATCCAACTTTTTGCTTCATATTTTACTAATAGGCGTCAATATGTTATGTTCAATGGTTTCAAGTCTGTCGAATATGCAGCAAGCTCGGGTGTCCCTCAAGGTAGCAACCTAGGTCCGCTACTTTTCAATGCCTTTATCAATGACATTTTCGAAGTAATTGATGTCAATTGTTTGATGTATGCAGACGATTTAAAGATATATTGTCAGATAAATGATATTGAGGATTGTGAACGGCTATCTTTGAATCTGAAACGCGTTGAACAATGGTGTTGCAGTAACAAATTACCTTTGAACGCTAGCAAATGTAATGTGATGACATATACACTTAGAAATCAACTCATTTTATTTCCGTATGATATTAGTGATACAATACTTCAACGTCCGCCCACATTTACCGATTTAGGTGTCACCTTTGACACAAAACTTTCATTTAGAGATTTTTCCGATTCAGCCACATCAAAAACATTATATTATGCCTTCGTCAGATCAAAACTGGAATATGCATCTTTAATTTGGAATCCGTCTCATCAGCTGTATATAGAGAAAGTTGAATCAGTACAACGTCGTTTCCTAAAACTTCTTTCCTATAGATCTGATAATGTATATCCACCAATCGGGTTTCCTCATGATACATTATTAGCTAGACATGCTATGAAAAGCCTTAGTTGCCGTCGTGATTGTCAATCCACAGTGTTCCTTTTCAAAGTGGTGAATAACATTATCACTGACTCACACATTTTGCAGAAACTGAGTTTCACTGTGCCTAGAAAAACTTCTAGAGTTTTCAATACATTCTATCTTCCGACACCACGAACAAATATTCTGAAATATTCTCCTCTCCATAACATGTGTTCTATATACAATAATTCATCAAATAATCAGCCAGATATCTTTCATTGCTCTACCTCTACGATTAAATCTTTTTATTTCAGCTAAGGTCTTGCCTATATTTATATACTTTTCAAAATATGAAAAACTGTATTATTAGTTATACTTATTTCCCTGTTCTGTAGTTGGGTTTGACCTGTAGAACAGTGTAACATTAAATAAAATAAATAAAATAAAACAAAATTCGTATGTATTTGCTATTTGTGATTGCGAATTACCTCAAGATCACAATTTCCAGATTCAATGAAATAGTAAAATGTAAAATCAAATGAATAGGTACCTGTTTACATAAATTGAATTATTTTTAAACAGATCGAGAAACTCATAGAAATTTCAATGAATATGATTGAATTCATTGCGCACGCCTTTGGCAACGGTATCTGTCTGTGACTAGCATCTGATATTGGTATCCCAGATGACGTCACATAATATGCGCGTAGGCACACCATCTTCTCCCACTATGGGAAAATCCAAAATTTTGAAGAATTGGAAAATGCAATTGTTTTGTTGGAAAAAAAATGTTTTATCTTGATTCTTATTCGCGATAGAAAATAAGCGTACGACACCTATCGGAGTTCTTGAAATCTGTCAAAGCGGCATGTTTACTTTGTTTTCATTGGTTCACATTTGTTTTTTGTTTGTGCCAACTGGTCATATCATCGAAACAAACCGCTCAGAAGTGTTCAAGTTGCTGCCGTCGGGTGGGGCGACGTGTTATTTTCTATCGGAAATTCGCGATAGAAAATCACACGTCGCTCCACCTGACGGCAACGACTTGAACACTTCTGAGCGGTTTGTTTTGATCATGGGACCAATAAGCACAAACAAAAAACAAATGTGAACCAATGAAGACAAAGTGAACAGGCCGCTTTGACAGCTTTCAAAAACTCCGATAGGTAGCGTACGCTTATTTTCATTCGCGAATAGAGTTTGACTTGGAGAACACGAAAATGTTGTTAGTGTTTTCCTAACGCCCTCAAAAAAATTCTATATAAGGGCTGGGAATTAAGATCCACCGCCACAGAATTTCTAAAGTGGATAATTAGGTCTTTCGAAAATTTGAACGAAAATGCATAGAGTTTGACCTTGAAAACATGAGTTTTCTTCCAAGGCCCTTATTCTAAAATAATCAATATCTCCAAAACGGAGAAATCAAACATTTGTTGAAAATTGAAGGAAAATGCGAGAAGGCTATGCTATAGAGATAGACCTGGACAACAAGAAAAAGTTGCATGTTTTTTTTTTCTATTACATTGGAGGTCGTTTGTTTAATGAAACTAAATCAAAATTATCAATGATTCGATTTATTATCCATACTAGTAAAACAGTGAAATAATCAGTTAACACAATGAACTGAGGATTTGTTATGAAACAAAAATACCTACATTGAAAGTGTGTTATAAAATGAAATGCCAAATGAAACTACATACTATGAAATGATAATAAATAAAGTCTAAAACTAAAAGTCTAAAACTAGATATATAAATTAACTAATCTAAAATGCCCACAAATTAAAGTACAATTTACTTAAATTATTAGCTTCATTCAACTTATGAGCATTTCTGAAACTTTAAAAATTACCTATTCCTCTATAATCATTTTTTTCCATCGAAAATTCCCTAGTTTTTGTACAACTCTCATGAAATTGAAGCAGGGAGCAATCTCTTATTGTTCTCACCATAAATCACCAGATCAGCATTATAGAAATAGGAACTTGAAAGTATTTTTTGTTTCAAACTTCGATTTCTTTTCAACTTTCATCATAAATATTAAAGCTATGTCAGTTAAACTCATTTCATGGCAGTAATCTAGGATTGAATCTTCCTATGTGCAAAATCAAACCTGTGGGATTGTGTCTGACGAAATAAAGGAATGGTCTGTCAAACCGCAGTCTTGGCATCTCAGGTACTCTAGCTTGTCTGGGCCTCAAAGGTAGAGGTACTTCTTGGTCAAAAAGCAATGGGTTTGGTCCAGTCATCCGGAAATCTTCCAAGGAATTTTCATCTAACGACTTCTCCAACCTGAAATGAAAAATACATGGAATTTATTTTTATTTGTAAATGAACCTTTGTGGGAAACACGCTTATGAAAACATTGTCTTTTCTAAGAGACACAGAAAGTCGCTTTTCTCTGACACTCAACAGGCAGGAAATGTTTACTCTCTCTACCTGTAGTCTAAAAAAGTTTGTTGCTATGAAACGTTTCAAATTTCAAGTAATTTTAATGAAATTGTGGTAATCAAAATTGTCACTGAAATTGCAATAATCATTAATGTCATCGACATTGGGTGAACATAAAATGATTGATTTTTCAATTAAAAATTACACAAAATTGGATTTATAACATTTGGAGAAACAATTAGCAAATGTAGTTTGATTGTCCCTTTTGGCTGAATTCCAAGCCTCACTACGCTCGGCTGTAGGGTGATGGTAAATTCGGTCCCAACCATCTCAATTGCTAAGGGTTTTACAATACTTGCCTGCATAATCGATTCAGTTTGTTTAGAAAAAGTAGTCTCCTTATGCAGAAAGGATATTTTCCTTCCTCATATTATAACCTACTCGTATACCTATATAATATATTAGGCCGAGTTAAGTTAGATTGTTTGGAAAGAGTAGTCTGCTTTCTTATGTCATTATTTACTGAGCCCCTCACAGAACAATTTACCTAGGACCGAATTTACCTATGCAGCATCAGGTAAAACGAATTTTGGGACTGAATTTACACCTTATTTTTGGCCTAATAATTCTTGGGACCGAATTTACACATACCCCGGCTATGAACTATCAGCCGCGGCAGTCAATCTACTTCTTTGCTGCCTAGTAAAACAAATGACGAGTGTTTCGCTAGTCAATCTACATTTGCTGCCGTGTTAAACATAATTTATTTCTCTCCAAATGTTAACAATAGTTTTTTCTGTGACGGGAAAAAAGTTTGGCATTTCATCTCTGTTGGCAGGTTATAAAATGTCACTTTTCATAAATTACTTTTTTCCCGTTGGAAAAAAGTGAGTACTTTTACACATGGCGATGTTTAAAATTCAATGAATTTACCTTCTGGATATCACATTTGCTGGGTAAATCTCCGAATGATGGCTGTCAGCATTCCTCAGCTCCCCGCAAGTCGTAAAACTATTTATTTGCAAGATATCCGACAAGTACAATTCGTTTTGAACACCATTCATCCCAGTGAGATCGGCTTTGTTTTCGTCGAACAGTTCGTTGAATCCCAATTTCTTCAATGCCATCGTCGCATTGATTACCGATCTGTGGATAACCCTCGGTATCTGAACCTCCAACCCTGTCCTCGGAATGAGAGATCTCAGAAGTCTTGACCATGCTCCTTGAATATAAAAAAGAAGGTCTGGAAAATCTAGAACATTTTTGATCCTTCATAACTCAAATATATTGCCCTCTTCTTTAGGCTCTGGAATTCATGGCCTGAGGAAGTATTTCCAACATATAATCTCCAGAAGTTCAAAAAAAATTCCAATACCTACCTCCTGTCCCTATCCTCCCTAGGCACGCACGATGTTCTTTGAACATTATAGGACTTTTCTTTCGTGCGCTTCAAGCGATAAAAAAAATATTGTAGCAGTGTAACAGTCCATTTGAGTGACATGATATCCTGTTGATGGTCTAAGACAGGATATAATCCTCCGTTTGTCACCTTCGTGTTAGAACCTGTATTCGCGGGAATCAATGTTACCAAGTGGCGCTCGGTTTTCATCGTTCCATGTCAAAGCCACGTCAAAACTGGGGAAGAACAAACTCAATCCTTACTCAATCCCATTAGTGCCATTATAGTTTGTGTACTGTGTACTGATAAGAGTGATGTTTTTAAATTTCTCGATCGAAAACGCCTGTTGTAGATGTTCGTTTGGCAGATATTTTGCTCTATTTAGATGGAAAAAGCCGACCAGTAGTTGAAGAAGAAGCAGTTCTCCGTGCTTATCATGTGATTTTGTGTGAGGCAGAAGACTTCAACAAAAGGCACATGTTTGCACTTTGGCTATAAACTTCGGCGATGAAGTAGAATTGAAGTTGGGGTCCAGAGGAACAAAATGGATTTGTATTTGTTCCTGCAAAGCAGGACAATCTGGGTATTATAAACGTGTTGTAGCTGTTCTTTTATATGTCAATTGATTCGCTCGTCATAATTAGTTTGAATTGTATGAACTATCTCCAATTCTTCACCCGTTCACTGTTCACTAAACTAATAAAAATGTAATAATGTGAAAAAATTAACTAACTCAACCATTATCACTACCAACAGTGCCAAAACTTCATGTCATTGACAAGTTGTAGCTGTACTACAGCAAGCTGAATGCAATGTAGTCTATGCACTTTATCCATAGAAAACAGTTTGTTTTCCCCCAGTTTGAAGTGCGTATTATGTAACCTAGATGTCGTCCACTTCGTGAATGTCGCGAATAGGTACACTAATTAGGCCCGGTTTATCAATCGCTAGTTAAGACAAATTAACTCTGAACTAAAAGGCTCAACCTCTATAGTTGAACTGTTTAAATCATTCTCCAAGTTTATTGTAACTGACAGCTAAAGTATCTGTTAATTTCGCTATGAGATGATCGAAAGTAAATGTTGAGATGTAAAAAACTCCACATAGATTAACGAGTCTACCAAATGATAAGATTTATACAAAAATCTTAATCACATGACATATGTTTTGCTAACACAGTATATTATATAATATAGCTTCAAGTGAAATACTACAATAAACTACGTTGGCTTGTCTAACTTTGCCTACCTAAAAAGTTGGGTTGAGTCAACGTAAGTTTCCATCAAGTAACGGCAGAATCAATTCAAAATTTGAAAGTTAATAAGAGTTTAACTCAGAGCAAATTTATGACATCAATCAATTATTATATCAATTATATCATTGAATACTTTAGATTCTTAGAGTGATGATGAAGATATATAGAGTAGATATCATAGATGAGGAGGGAAGGACATATACCGTGAGATGAAGAAATGATCCACATATATGATTTTGATGATGAAGATTCTTGGGAAGTTTTCGTTGTTCAAAACCCGCAGAGTGTTGATGATTATGGACCAAATCGAAGGAGAAATTGGAACTCCAACAAATAGGTAGGTTGGAAACACAGATTATAGGATGAAATTGTTGAATTCAGTACTAATATAGAATATTAACAATATTAATTTGTAAGTATGTTGTCACAGGAATCATATAAAATGAATCAATTTGATACTGCTGACACCGATATTAGATCTCTCTATGATCTTAGAGGTTACCTGTGATAGTGTGATGAGAAGATTCTTTCACCAATCAGCTCAGGTCTTTTGAAAATCACGGTTACCAACATTCTGTTAACTTGGAGCTACTTTAGCTTGAAAATAGATAAGTATACAGTGGAACTTTGACCGTTAGTCAATATTATTAGCAGCTTTTTGCTCACCCGTTTTGAATGAGCTCTCCACCAAACTCTTCTCGAGCCTCGCCAATCCATCCCCAGGCGCCGGCATGCCCTGTTGTCCGGGAATCACCAGAATCGTGCTGACGATTTGGTCCTTGGTGCCCAAAGACACGGCAGTGGCGTCCAGGCTGGGATCGTATCCCGCCAAAAAGTTCGATCGGTACACCACTGCAGGTATCGGAACCAGTCTCCGTTGCCTAATGGAGGGTAACACTACGAAGTGCATCTCTCCATCTCTGCCAGCAGTCGACGTATTGCTACAGTCGGTCTAAAATAATACAATTTTTTTTAGAAGTATGATTTTGACGCAAAAATCAACATTCACCTACTTGGAATACGTTGACGCTAATTCCAGCCAAAGGCGACCTAGCACTAACGAAACTGTCCTTAAGGAACTCCCCAACTTTCCCATCAGAGTACTTCTTCACCTGCAAGTTCGTTCTTCTACGAATGACATCACCGATCTCGCTGAAGTTGATTTCTTCCACGAATCCGTCATAGAACGCCTTGGCTCTCGCCTTGTAAAAAGGCAACAGCATCCCTCTCTGTCTATCACTGAATAGTTCCCTCACAATAGCTGAGGCAACCACTCCAGAATTCGACTTTTCAAGGTCGATAGACTCGCTAACGTTCTTGAATATCAGATGGGGATTGAAGGTGACCATGTCATCGAGCTTCAATATTTCGTCCATCTCCCCAGACGTGGATCCTCTAGCGCCCAAAAAGATCATGGCTAGCAAGGAAATGGCCCCAAAGGGTGAGACGAAGATGCTTCTAGCAGAACTCAGCCCAGTGGTGACGGTTTTCCAGTAATTGAACGCTAACTCGTTGCAAAGCTGGCTGTACTTGTGGATGTCTTCGTCGAGAGTGGAGATGGAGTCTTCCAGGCCGAAGCCTTGCAGTGGCTTAGGCTCCAAGTCTATGGGTTGTGGGGGTTGGATTAACTCCGGGTAGCTGGGGGAGGGAGTTGTTTGGGGTTTTTTCGGTTCGGCGTGTGGTTTAACTGTAGGGACTAGGGTCCAATTGGATTCGCCTTTGTCTGTGTCTTTTATTACTGGTTTTTCTGCTTCTTTGAGAGGAGTTGTGGTCACCATCTCTGTTGTAACTGGTATAACAGGCTGTTCGGTAGTATTTTGAGGTTGCTTGGTATCACTACTTGAAGATACGTTTCCACTTTCTTTGATTATTATTTCAATAGATGGTTCTAAAAGTGATTCAGTCGATTGCCCTTCATTAACAGGCTCAGTAACTGTTACCATATCTGCAGTAGGCTTTTCAGTTTTTATTGGTAGTGTAGTAATTTCTGTTGGATTGTATAACTCAGTGATAGTAGCGAGAGTCTCATTATTCTTCGAAACTTCAGTAGTTTGTGTTGTATTCAGTTCCGAGATTTTTTCAATTTTCGTATTTTTGATTGGACCTTGATCAGTTCCAACACCCTCCTTATTTAAAATTGTAATTTTCATCATAGGTGAGTCACTTTTTTCAATTGTTTCATTACCTCTACTGACATTTTGTGCGGAAGAAATGCTACTGCTAGAAATAATTTGGTAAATGCTCGGCTCTGTGATTTCACTCGAAATGTTATTTCCAGAAGAACTAGGTGACGACATGGTTGACGTAATTTCTGCAGCATCCACCAACACTATCTCATCTACATTTTGAAGAGTTTGTGATACAAGTTCTTGTATACTACCCATCAGATTCATATCAGTATCAGTTGTAGTTTGTTCGATCTCTGTTGTGAGTGAATTCCGTTGGGTAGTTTCGAATCTATTATCAGACTGGTCGAGTATTTGGTTTACGATTTCGGTCTCAAGGTCAGAATTAGTTGTGGAAATGAGTTGACCGATGATCTCTGAGGTTGAAACCGGTGTCTTATTATTTTCATAGGGAGTTGTTGTAGTGTAAGTTTCGTTGATCACACTCGAATCAGAAATGATTCGTCTCTCAGTGGTAGGGGCTGTATCTTCAGACGTTCGTTCTGTAGGAGCAATAGTAGAACTAGGTGATTCCTGACTTGTTGAAGATACTATAAGTGTTGCCATAGAAGTGGGTTCTGTAGCCAGATTCGTTGAAGAGCTAGTAAGAGTTGACGGATTATTGACACTTGCAGAAGCACTAGAAGATTCTTCTGTAATTGCAGATGGCTGTTCTGCAGGAATATTTGTGGACGACCTGAGCAGATCTGAAGAAGAACCAGTCACTTCTGTAGAAGAGCTTGGCTGATTTCTTTCAGTTGGAGATCTGTCAGTTATTGCTGATGTCTCTTCAGTAGACCTTACTAGAGGGAGATTTGTTGAAGATGTTGATAATTCTCTTTCAGTTGAAGATACTTCCGTCACTGTCATTAAAGATGCACGTTCTGTAGAACTGGATATAGGAAGATGTGTCGAAGAGATGGTTAGATATTTCACTGTTGACGGTGTTTCTTGGGAATTGGTTATACTAGATTTCAACAGAGGATCACTTGTTGTAGTTACTTGTTCAGGCTCGGTAATATTTGATGTTGTTGCGTGAGTTTCTGAAGTAAGAGGAGACACAGTTTCAGTCGTTGGGATATTTCTTATTGTGGTTGATGATACAGGAATGTGACTCGATTCTGTGCTCGAATTTTCTTGCACACTTGTAGTTAGCTGAATACTGGGAGATGAACTGACTTCTGTCATTGTAACTTCTTCGCTAGCTGTTATAATCGCATCATCTTCTTTCTGGGAGGTGACTGAGCTTGCCTCAGTAGTAGGGATCTCAACGTTTTCTTTAGTTTCCAACGTGAGTAGAGACGATGGTAACCTCTCTGTGGTGGTATCAGCTAGTTGCGGTACTGCTTTTGTTGTAGAGCTGGATGCTATACTAGAAGCTGCATCTAGTGTTGTATCGATCATAATGGTGTCAGGAGTAACGTGCTGCACAGGTTTTTCAGGGTTGATATCGGCGCCAGAGTTGCCAAATATCGCAGGCAAGATCATACTCCAGGAATCGGAGACATCTGGAGTGTCGAAGACAGGTTTAGAGTCTACTTTATTCTTGTGCAGTTCCATTTCTCCTTTGAGTACACCTTGGACATTGCTGAGCACGTCGTTGACCCTATTTTCAGGGATGTAGTTTTGGGAGGAGAGAGAGTCGTACTCGAGGCCGTCACTGTCGCCTGTCGCTATTATCCCGCGAATTTCGTCTAGGGACATCAGCCTCCTCACTAGGTTTCCGTCATCGTCGAAAGTATAGAATTCGTAGCGGTCTGGGTTCAACAGGTCGATGGGGCTAGCTAGTTCTGACGAGGCTGAAGGTTTGGCCAATGGCCTGCCCAGGGAGTCTGTGTATATCGCTTTAGTGCCGTTGCCAGTGTCCATAATGACTGATACAGACGTGACGACACTGCAAAGATATATAAATTTGACGGTATATCTGTGCAGCTTCAACAGTACGAGGTGAAAAAAACTTTGAATGACAATTTTCTCTAGTTTCCAAATACACTCATCGGCAAAAAAAATCCGGCCTACAAAAAATTTAACCCAATTGATCTTAATTTTTGGTAAAATTTCACCCGAATCGTATATTCATGTTTTAGAATGTTGGTATAGATAGTGGTTCCTAAGAAAAGATGATGGTTTGATCATTATACAGGGAAAAACAAAAGTTTTCTTTCACCCCTAACTTCCTAACGCCCTGTGGACAAGGTTAGTGGTTAAACTTAGCTTCATTATGTTTTGGATCGACGTGTGATCTCTTATCAACACAATGGTTTTTAAGTCACGTCGATAACCACTTTTTAAGAGCAGATACAAGTATTTTAAGAAAGTATGTTTTTTTTATTAACAATATTTCAGAACCATTCTCCAACCTTCTACTTAATCATGTTTTGAATTGAAGTGTGATCTTTTTTCGTCCCTTCTCAACGCAATGGTTGTAGATTCACGTCAATATCTTCTTTTCAAGAGAAGATACAAATGTTTTGAGAAAGTATGGCCTTTTTAAATTTTTATTAACAATAATTCAGAACCTATAAAACATCTTGGGATGAACTTCATAGGCTCATTCGCCTTCGTCCAGCCTAGTCAGAGGCTCTTAAAGAGGTACGATTGAAGGACGATCAAGGAGAATTTCAGGCAAGACCACTTGAGAAAGATCATGCAACGGCGGTCGGATGCTGAAATTCAAACTCGAGGAGAGCATACTAATATTTAGGATAACATTCCGGAACATAAATCTACGATTTGATTTAAATTTCACAAAAATCGGGCAAGCATTGAAAAAGTTACAGGGTGAACCATTTGGGCAAAATTTATGGTGGCCGGTTGTTTTGCCGGCGAGTGTATAACGAGCGAGTCGGAATGAAACCAACAAACTCTTTGTTTTTAGATTCCTTACTATGGTGTAAAAAGTTTCTCACATCGTTTGTCCTAAAATGAAACCATAGTCAAGATGCAAGATGTCGATAGCTACCTACAAAAAAACACGATTTATTGTTTGTTATGATTTGAATGGATGAATGAGTTTTTGAAATCACTTAGGCTCATTGATACAGAACCAAAAGTTTAAATTATTTCATAAATGTGAAGATTTCCGTGTCATTTAAAAACAAGATCGACAGGTATTTCACTAGAGTTGAAAATATATATTAGGATGTGTCCTCGAACAATTTTTAACTGTTATTTTCAAAGTTTCTTCCAACCCGTGTAGTTAATGCTGTAGGTAGGTTCGAAATATAGGGGTACACCCTGTATCATTTTGAGAGTTAATGACGTACCTGGATCCCAAAATTTTTCGAGAATGTTCTCCATCGGTTGTTTCTTCAGGTTCGTTATAGGACGAAGCTAATAAGGCTAGGTTGATGACTAGCAATATTGGTATCCACATTTCTGTGAAGAATCCTAGAAATCAAAAAATTTACCTACCTAGGTATTTTGGCATTTTACAATAATAATTGTATGAACCATACGATTCATATCTTCTGCAATCAATATGAAGTTTAAATTGAAAAAGTTGTTCAAGATAATCCCGTTAATTTTTGTTTTTCGTGTCGAAAGAGTTCTGAATCCCTCGAGAGTTAACTTCTACTCTAATCAAAACTGTTTGAATGGACCATAAAATTATTATCTACAGTTAAAATAGTAAAAAGACTGTATTTGCCACAAATGTTAATTATCCAAAGGTATTCACTGGTTAGAGTAACTGATAACTGTTAAAAAAAACAAGAATTTGTGAAGCAATACCACTACTTTCTTGATTTGTTGACAATGAGATAAATGAGGTAATAATCTTTAACTGTTTCAAGAAGTCGATGAACTTCATGATGAAACGGAATGCAGCAAATGCCCAAAACACTTATTGTTTGTTATGATTATTATTATAAATTATCGATTTGTCGTTCACAGGGTGTTTCCAAAACAGTAGACAGTTTTAAACTCGTGATTATATCTAATTTTTTGAATTTTCTCTAGTCAACCCATCAAGGAAGGTTGAGTTTTTCGCTATCAAATAATTCAATCTTGCTGAAAAAAACAATATTATATCTTCAACTATGAGTAGAATAAGCCTATTCGAAATGTTACCTTGAATGAAATCTTGCATAGACATTCTATAGCAAATTATTACAAATATATTTTTTCTTAGACAAAAATCAAAAGAGAAACATTAAGCCATTTTAGAGTTTCCTGCCTAAATCTTTATATCAAATCACCTGTGAATCATTGTCGATCGGATTTTGCAGCACCCTGTATATGAATTAGATATTTTTTATGTTTTTTTGTCACAGCAAAGATAGGCATACCTGATGTATATCTATTATAATAAGACAACCAGAATAAGAAGTGCAATTTGATTGTTCGTGGAATTGGTACTGAAAAATGAGAAAAATTAACTTGAACAAATTGAAATATACAGGGTGATTCGATAATTGAAGGTGGTGAAGTCTATAGTGAAAGCAGAATAGGCGGTATATCTGAATCAGGGTCATTTCATGTATCAGAATACAGTCTTATGAAATAATGAAAGACAATGGCAAATATGGTGTTTGATAAGATACTAACTTGTCAATTCATTGTTGAACATTTAAATTTGACACTTGTATCATGAGATTTTAAAATTGCAAATTATAAGATGAACAAAATAAAAAGTGCAATTTGTTCCTGAATTGTCGAGTGAATTGTTTACTGATTAGTTGAGAAAATTTTAATATACAATATACGACAATTAAAGGTTTATTTAAAGTAAAAGCAGAATAGAGGTATCTCCTCGAGTCACGCATTGAAATACTTGGTGAGTATTTGTACTTTTCGAATTCACAGTCTTATGAAAAAATGAGGGCGATAAGGGCAAATATGGATTTTGAAAAGAAGATAATTTCTGAAATCATTGTTGAAAATTTGAAGTTGAAACTTTTGTTATAGGAATTCATGAAAATTCTAAATTACAATCGATACACAACAAATGGCAGAATAGACTTCTGAGTATTTTGTTATTTGAAATTGTTTGAACTGGAATGACCTTTTGTTTATTTTCAAGTAGGTACCTATTTTCAAGTCATAGCAAAATTTGTTCTGCTTCGCTGCGCTCGAGTTTAAATTTACCCATGAAGTGTCTCTTTCACTATTTATATACTATTTTACGCAATTATTTTGTAAGTTTGTTTGATCTTTCCAACAACAAAATTTCGAAACTAAAAAATTCCCAAATCTTGGAGAACAATTCACATAAAAATTTCGAAAAAAAATCTCACCTTTGCAAAAATCACAAATTAATCCGTCATCTATCGCAAGATGAGCTGCGGATCTATGTACTACCACCACTGAAGTGAATCACCGATGCACCGGACTTTTGTCTTTAGAAGAAACCGTGTAGAACTGGCAAACTGCCGAAGATGCGAGATGAATATGCTAGTTCTTCGCGGAGTCAATGTCACTAGTGGAGCGCCGGCGCACCTCCACTCCTCAAAACGTAATCTGCACTTACTCCAAGTGAACTGGCACAAACTCAACACTTCAAGTACAGCTGGAAATTAGACGATTGGTAGAATCAACATTTCCTTAAGTTTCCTACACAGTATTTTTCCGCCCAGTTTAAACTTCTGCGTGAATTTTAACCCATTACCTCCCACTGTACTTATTTAAGTACACTGCAAATTATGGTCTACTATCTACATCTATTGACATATTTCAACAAAATAATGTCGTGATAGTATTCTGCAATGTACAAGAGACTCGAAAGTTCGAGATGTTCTCACATATGTCGATCAAGTCAACTGAAGAGATTGTCTAAACAATTGCTGACCCATCTCCTGTTTTCGAGAGTTTTTTGACTTTGTTGAAATTTTCGATTTGACTCGGTAAATTAGCTGGCCAGGTATGTATGCGAATTGCTTATACTTTCGTGACACTTGATTTTTCATTATTCTCCACATAACAAAAAAAAAACAATGGTGTACTTATTTGGGTACAATGGAAAGATATGGTGTGATAAATTTCGGCACAATATTTCAGATTTGGGATGGATCATTATGTTCAGCAAATTTCTTCGAAATGCTTCAATGGCAAACACTTCAAATCATTAGGAGAAGCAATAGATGACATTCTTTCTTCAAACCGTGAGCCTGAAATGATTACTATTCCACCTGAGGTAGACACTCTAACAGATGAAGAAGAATTTAACGAAAACGATATGAGTATATTTTCTTCAGTGCGCTGAAGAACCTTCGATAACTACCTTTCCAATTGCGATTTGCAGAAAATGCTCAGTACCTAAATATTGTTCATTGTTTGTGATGCAATTTTGAAATGCTTGAGATTCTTCTGTAGTATTCAAGCTTTTGAGTTATTTTTCTATGCTCCCATCGTACTCATTTGAGTACAGCACTTTCTTTCAAAAATCTGCCAGGATTTTTTTTCAAATTCAGTGTGTGTTAATATAAAGGGCTAATTAATAAAAAAAACTATGAATATATAAAAAAAATATCCGTAGGAGGTAATAGTTTTCGATCGTGGGCATCAATATCTACATTTTCTACGTACGTATATGTGCATCAGTATTTGTTTTCATGACATATTTTCTCGGCCTACTTACTATGATTATTTGTTTTTTTTAATTTAGAGATACTATATATAAGTTTTGAGCAATATACCAGGTAATCATCAGAAAGTTGTTCAGAAATGATACTTGGAATGCATCAGAATTATAAGGTCCGTAGTCTATATTCCAACTTTTTTGAGTTATCTGTTACCTAAGGTTTGTTAACACGTTATTAACTGTCATAAAATATGTGGAAGAGAATATATTTTTCATTATATTCTATAGTTTTTGTAACCCAGGACTTGAGCGACTTTCACCCCAAACTTCATTCCTGGCATTATGGCTCACTTTAGTATTGTACAGGCTGTCTCCTTATATTTTGACGCCTACAGCTCCAACTATATACAGGGTGGAAAAAACTTCAAATATGAAAGTTGTAGGGTTTCCTCTGTACTATATTTTGCCATTTCTTAAATAAACAAATGCGAATCGCAAAATAGGAAAAAAGAGTCCAGATTAGTTTTTATTAATGGACCACCCTGTATATTTTCAACTTTTATGGAAGGTCTTTTAGTTCTGTTCACAAATATATATATTTATATAGTTTGCTAATGACTAAATTCTTGCTGCACTACTGAAATGTTTGCAATATTTTCATAGTATAATCTTACTCTCTCGTATTTTACCTCTACGAAATAACCCATTCATATTGAAAAACTGAGATGTCAAAAATGCCTTAATTGTGTCCATGGCATTTCTGTTGTGTCCACATTAGTCATCTGAAATGTTATTGATGGCAACTTTGATTCAATTTTAAAAAATTTAGTCGTATCTCACGAGCAGGTCAAGATACCTGAGCTCCTGAGCAGTAGTTGAAATGGCCAATAGCGATTTGTCCAAGATCGAAATTGGGACACCCTGTACGCTGATTAGTAAATTCCCGGAGCAGAGTCAACTTCTTCGGCTAGTCAAGTGCTCGACCTTGACCGATGGACCAAGTGATGCGACTATAACTGTGCAAGAACTGTACACCTGTCGAAGACAAAAGATTTATTGTTTGCTCAAATTGTGTCAATTTTCAATTTTAAGACCCGCTGTGAATGTCTGACGAGTTTATTTGGGCCATCGTACCTTCATTTCGTATGTAACGCACTGATTTCCAACATGCGCTGCTATCAATTGATTAGATTTGGAAAGCAGTTTTTGCTGTTCATCAGAGGCTAATTCGTTGGGCCAAAAATGGAAAGAATGTGAAGGACTCTCAGAATTTGCTTGATTTTATCCGTCTAAATGCTAAAAAAATCAGAAAAAACATGAATATGAGGAAGCCATACTAGAAGTCTGCTTCTATTACCACTGGGAGTTTCATTAATTTTGTAATAAATGAGGGATTCCTTGAAGAAAGATAAGAAGATATAGTTTCTGAACTTTTTTGCTGGAGTCCGTAGTTTCCGAGATACGGGTGTCAAAACTTGAAAAAACGGCTTTTCGTAATCGTATTCTGTTATTTTGAGTTAACGGCAGGCATTCAGACGACAATTGAAATGTTAACAGCCTCCGCCCGTTAAGATTGTTTAACGGCAGACGGCCGTTAACTGTTCGATAACAACATGGTGCTGGGATTGTTCTGTAGAATTCACTAGGTACCTACGTGTTCTTTCCTAGGAATCACAACGTAATCTTTCCACAGGATTTTACGAAAAGTCTTGGCTATGAACTATGAGCCGCAGCAGTCAAATCGTTATCACTTTAACTATGAAAATCTTGGTAGATATGGTTTTGATAAATGCAGATGATGATTACCATAGCAGCGAAATATTGGCTGGCAGCTATTTGACATGAAATTAGTTGACATTCTGATTTTTGAAAGTTTGATTACAATTATCGCAATAAACAATGGAAAGCAGCTGCGGTAGTGAGTTTGAAAATGTCCATACGAAAGGACTCCGGAAATGTTCAAGATAAATTGGGTCCCGATGGATTTTTCTCAATTTTCGGTATGATATTGTTCATGTGGTTCTATAAAATATTCACATTGAGCCAACTCCCCAAAATGGACAGTTTTTTTGATTTTTAAATGAACGACATTTCAGAACTTTTTATCCCATTCAATTAACTCTAAAAAAACAGTATTTTCTGGACTTGTTACGTAAATTACTATTTAGCAACCTGATGGAAATATAGCCGAAGAATTTATTAACTCTATGCTTATAAGAAACACTTACTATAAACAACCATCTTTGTATAAATTTTTATAAAAAATCCTGAACAGTGTGTACAGAAGTTGAATTTCTAAATGAAATATTGAAATACAGAACTATATAGAAATAACTTTCGAAACTGTAATAAACGCTAACTGAAAAAGATTTTTTTTTAAATGATTCATTGACCAAAATAAAAGTAGGTATATGGTATATCCGTATATATCCATCCATATGTTATGATAAATAGGCTCAATAAGTCGTTATATCAAGTTCACTTATAACGAGTCATAGTTTATAAAAAGAAGTAACTGTTCGCTATTTTGTTAACGCTTACTTTCTACCATTATTTCAGATTGTCCAAGAATGACCTGAAATTTATACAGGGTGATACATATTACTATGGTAAAAAGGAATTAATAGATAATACTCTTTGCAAGTTTCCTTAATTTTTTTTCATCTCCCAAAGTTTTCAAGATACATATTATGGTGTCGACCTTTTTTTAAAAACATGACAATATTCTGTAACTATATCCCGAAAAATACAGAGCTTCATTGTATCAAACTATCTTATTTCCTTTTCTTTGTCTTACAGGGCGATTATCCTTCATTTTTGAAATAATGTACAAGGTGTTTCATAATTGGATGTCAATATTTGGAGAGGCGATTCTTGGGCCAAAAAAGTCTTATTTTGATTCCAACAATATGGCCTTGAAATATTTACATTACATAGAACTTTGAATCACCCTGTATATTCACTTACTTTGGGGCATAATTCTTATTACGATGACGCTGCACAGCAAGAAGATCTCGGAAACGGTCATTTTTGAGCTCAATTCGCTGATATTGTCAAGAAGTACAAATGCCTATAGAATAACATCACTCAAACTCGCGTTTATTTCAAGGTCTTCAATTATAAATCAACTTTTCCAAATTAAAACATCAGACGTCAGTTCCTGTAGAATTTGCAAAAACCGCTTACCGTGCAATAATACCTAGGTAAGGTAATGGCCATTCCCATTGCGGAACATTGCAAACCTATAGCATTAATTCAGAATATCAATAGTACCCGAGTCGATAAGGCATCATTATTATTGATACAAGTCATTAGTAATTATCAATTAAAAAATGTTCACCGTCTCCCCGACTTCAATCCTGCTGGTCAACCCCATGCTAGACGTTGTAATGCAAGTACTGTTCTTTTCAAGTGTTGTTTTGCGTGTTTCATTTGGCAAGCCATTATGTTACTTTTTCTTTGCTAACCTGCCTCGTGGCAAGTATTCATCCACGATTTTTTCCATTTAATCAATAAATGTCAAACTACAGTGTGTCCCACTTACCATGCTCACCATGGGTATCTTTTTAACGGTGAGAGATTCGAGGTCGGTTAAATGACACCAAATGTGGAGTTTGTCAAGGCCAACTATAATGTGAAAAAATATTTTGATAAAATCTATTCGTTTTTGTTTTTTACGCAAAAAACATATTTTGATAATTTTCATGTCTCCTCCGTAGTTTCTTTATTTATGAAAATATTCAAATAGGAATTTCACATTCTCATGGCAGTTTTTCAAAGTGATTTCGAAAAAAATATAAAATTTATACCAACTCTTCTAGAATTTGAGATATCAGCACCAACTTCAGTTTTTCAAATGTAGGTCATAGCTCACTATGACTTATTTACAAATAACTTTTTTCTATTACAGATGATATGTCGCAGTAATAGTTTTGTGTTGATAACAACGGAGTTACCGTCATTTATACAAAAACAAAAAATTATTTGGAAGCCGCCATCTTGAATTTATAACTTTTTAACAAGAAAATCATGATCTCCGACCTCAAAAACCCCCACTTAACAATTTGGAATGGAATCGGACCAAATCTTGTACGCCATCTTGGAGCAGTCATTTTATTTAATTTCAACAAAAATTCCATAACTCCGATTAACTTGAAATTTGGCAGGTGTTCATAATTTCGGTGACAATACTTTATGGAGTTGTTAACTTCCAATATTCCTCCAATATTATGCAACTTGAAATAAATGTCCGTTTTCAAACCATTTTCTCATATGTTCAGAAAAATTAATTTTAACAAATTGAACTGAAAAGGAAATACATCTCTACTGGCCACTGGGAATGGTTATTTTCTTCTTTAACCACGTTTCATGATTTGAATATTCGATTCGAATCTTAACCAATCCAGCAAAAGTAAGAAATCGAAGCAGACATCAGTTCCTATTGTTCCATTCGTTCTCATTCTAGACATCAGTACCCGTCCTGCATATTGATGACCAAGGTGCCATTATATCTGAACGCCTCATAAATATGTAACCAAATCATTTCGATTTCTGCCCTGAATAAGCAATCAAATCGGACTCCAAAATTTGATCTAGGGCACTAGAGAAGTAAGTCAGCAAGTGCATTTTTTCTTATCATTATCAGTACCTCAATGACTGCCCACGAATAAACATCTTCGATACCATGAAACTGGTAGTGCTTGCTACAATTTTGGTAGGTTTGGTATTCTGCGAAGAAGAACCTAAAGCCTTTGAAGATGACTCGTATTTGGAAGCTTTGAAAAAATCCCGCAGTGAAAGTGAAAATTCTCTGGATGAAAATAGCAAAACGAAGAAAATTAATAGGAGGGAATATGATGTTAATAATGGTTATTATTCACAATCGCAGTACGGACAACCTATAGGACCAACTCCCAATTACGGACCACCAGTGCCACAGTGAGTTGTTCTAAAAATCTCATTGATATTTAATGAATCAATTCATTTAATTGAAATTCGTCTCCAGTATTTAGTTTGAAATCCTGCAATTCAGGAAGTCAATCTTTCATGAGAAAATAAATACAGGGTGTTTCCGAAATTGAACGAAATAAAACAATACATTATGGTCGGAAGAAAATTTGGAAGATATTGAGCTTCAAATTTTGCCTGAAACTGTAATTCATTCATTGATTCCAGCGAGATCACAAAAGCATCAGAAGTATCAATGGCATTTGCGATGTTGCCGAACGTTCAATAATATTTGAAAGATGTGGTATGGTGGGAGCACACATTTTTTTTAAATATTTCAAAAAAAATTTTTTGTGACTTGTCATTATGTCCCACCTCATTTTATTCATTGCCCCATTTTCGAAACCACCCTGTATATAGGCATAACAATCTTGAATTGGGATTGTCTATAAATGAACGAATATTTAAATATATTTAAATGTAACTTCTAATACCAGATATCTGATAGCATACAATTCAGATTTGTGTAAGTTACATTTAATTCATCCAATAGAATTGAAATGAATTGAATCATTTCATGATTGAAGAAAAAAAGTTTGTAAAAGAGTAGATGAAATGTATAAGTGTGGGAAATATGTAGGATAATTATGATTGATGTGTTTTGTGTGAGCTTTGTTGATTGAAACGCAACAATGAGTCGTAAAGGACTATCCTTAGCCGATGCTCCGAAATTTCACAATATTCAAACCATTAATGGAGTATCAGAAAAATTCCTTGCCCTAGCTGGAATGGTTATGGAATAGCAAAAATACAAATTACCTTCATTACTGCATGATATTTCTTCAACTCCTCCTCGTACCATTTGCACTTGCAGGGCTTTTCAGTTAGTCCTATCACAACTCCTGATTCCATTATGATCTGCTATATGTATATGGATCGTCTCGAAACCATATATTCAGTTCCACGATAATCAAGTATAGAAAAAAAGACTGGTTTCTCCGGGTTTCTCAGTCTCATTCAATCTGACAAACCCAATTATGTGAACTAGGTACCTTTTCTCTGAGGCTGACATTGACCAGTTCGATGATGCACTATAGAACTGAAACTTTTGCCATTTCGAATTCAGTTTGGAACCATGCAAAAAAATTCCAGACAATTTTCAATTAGGCACCGAAAATAGACTGAACCATTTGAAACCGTTTTTTAAAGAAATCTTTTTCTACTAGCGTGCAAAAGTCCCCTTTCCCGAGCTCATTTTAGTATTGAAAAAGTAACTTTTCCCACTAGATGAATTTGGGTTTTTTCCACACGCTTGTGGAAAAAAAAGTGTACCTAACACGTGCGTAGTGACTTTTCCGCACTTGTTAGATAAACTACCATTTCATAAAATTGCAATATTTCAGTGCACTAATTATACAAGACTACAATGTTTCATCAATAGCATACCTATTAATGAAAAAAATCTTAGTGCTGCGCATCTGTACAGATCAACAAAATGCACCAATCTAATTATGACTATATACAGAGAAGTGCACAAAAAACGGCCAGTACTGTAGCTTCTGAATCATTCGAAATCGGATTTTCTCATTTGCCAGGTAGCAAGTATACCAAATTGCTCATTCATTGACAAGTAAGTATTTCCGGTTGAACCGGAAGTAACCCCAACTTTTGATTTTCAAATAGGACACCCTGTATATTTTTCAATTTTTGCTTTCAGGGGATCGTTCTACATACATGAGGACGTTTTTATGGACAAAATGTCAGGATATGCAGGTTGTCCCATTTAAAGAACAACAGTTGGCGTCGCTTATTCCGGTTGAAGCACAAGTAATAAAATAAATATTTTTTGACAATAAAAAGCAAGTTGATCTACTCTCTGTCACTGGCCGTTTCTTGTGCAGTACAGATAGGTCGAATTTTGCAATGTGATGGATATCAAGTATACCAAATTGTCTTTTGATCTTTGGTAGAAGTCCATATTGCTCAAAGTAGAGGAAATATTTCACAGGAAGGAAGGAATGCTCGAGAGATGACTTCCGAGTATTCCTTCCTTCCTATGAAATTGTCTTTTGTTGACAAAAATATTCATTAAATCACTTCTGGTTCAACCGGAAACAACCCCAGCTTTCGATTATTAAATAGGACAAACTTGTATATTTTGATCAGAAGAAGATCCTTGTTTATGTAAAACGATTCCTTGAATCCAAAATAGTAAAAATATATCCTATTGATTCAAGTGATGAAACTAAATATTTTCTTGTCAATAAATGAGCAATTTGGTATACCTGCTAGCCACCAAATTTCAAAATTCGATCACAAAAGATTGAGAAATTTATAATTTCTTCAATTGGTAGCTTCTGGTTAGGGTTGCCAGATATGTTGGGGAAAAAACCGGGCATAAATAACATTCCAAAAAATCCAACTTGAAAAAATAATAAGCATGTTTTATACAGGGTGATTCAGGTTTCAAGGTGAAAACTGAAATTAGTGATAGATCTCATCATTTTGATAAAAAAGTGTGTAGTAGTAGTATCAGTAGCGGAGATACAGAGGGTCAAAGTTCAATTATTTTTTTCTATTATTCGAGATATTTCGCTCACTTCTGAACTTATCAATTCGAAACTTGGTGTGGTTACATACTTCCTAGAAGATCATCATTATGAAGTATTTCAAAGACTTTCAAAATCCACAAGGTGATCCATATTCCTCATCCAATATCTTTTTCAACATCATTTGAAAAAAATAAAATAGCATTCAACTTGTCAGCACGAATCTCCTTGCGGAATGTGATATCTTTTTGCGTATTCCATTATTGTTAACTAAATTTGACAAAGAATAAAATGCAAGACAAAAATATAGATGACATCAACATGTTGAACGGATATGCTTATTTATTTCGAAAACGGTTCGTTTCTCGGAAAAGATTGAGAAGCAAAAAGAGCCTCTAAATTGAACGATCCACCCTATTTGATAACTGGAAAATGTCAGAGGGGTAGTACGAAAAAGTTGGGGGGGGGGAGGAAGAAAACGGGTATACCCCCAAAAACCTATCACCCTGTGGATTTGAAAAATCTTTAAAATACTTTTAATGATGCATTCCTATAAAGTATTAATCATACCAAATTTTCAATTGATATCTTTGAAAGTGAGCGATATTTTAATGAATTGAAAAAAATAATTAAACCTTGACCCCCTGTAGATCCGCTAGTGATCGAGATCAGGTTCATGTTAACATAAACTTTTTTAATTGAAATGATGAGATCTATCCCCAATTTCAGTTTGCACCTCAAAACCTGTATCACCCGTTTACTCAATAAATTTATTAAAATACCGGACATTCTTTTGTCTCGTCCGGACAACCCTACTACTGGTTCAAGTTGAGTTGCCATGTGGTATTGAAGTGCCCCCTTTCTATTTTTCAGGTATGGCCCCCCTATACCTAATCCTCCCCCAAACCCAGCACCAATCTACGGCCCCCCTCCCAATTACGGGCCCCCTCCCAACTACGGCCCCCCTTCCACGTCCCTCCAAGTGTTCTACGGCGCGCCCCACGCTCTGGAGTCCTTCTGGGAAAAACTGAAGTTCAAATTGAGCATTTTCACCCTGGGAAAGATACTGCTCAAGCTGGTGATTTTCAAGAAAATCGTCAGCTGGATAGCGGTGCTGTGTCTGCTGTTATTCCTGCCTTCTTTGAAACACAAAGACCAGTCGAGTATGAATGACGAAAGGAAGTTCCATGGCAGGAATATCACAGGTAATTTTTCATTGCCAGCTTTATGGACACAGAATATCTCTTGGAAATAAGATATGTTGTGTTTTTTGACATCTGAGAACGTCACTTGTTTATTTCAATCTCTGTTTTTCCGTGTGAGTTGTTACTATGTTACTAATAATTTTCACGAGAGCTTCAATTATTACTCGAGAATTTTCAAAATATTCAATTTCTTTATTCACGAAATTGAAAGACAGAATTATATAAGAAGATATGCAGAACAGAGTGCTAGACTATTTCATGAAGCATAAAAAGCATTTATTCATTCTGACAAGTACAGCCATAATTATTTTATGTCAAACTGATAGACTTTTGCTTCGCTATCCATGGTTACATCCAGACTTTGCTTCGTTATCCATGGTTACATCGATGAACGCATCAACGCTGATAGACCAATCAGAATTGAAAGACAACTTATGTTTTCGCAATAAGCACACGTCGTTGTCTCTGGCTTGTGATTGGTCACATTATATGATGAGTGAAAAAGTGGAGTAGAAACTTGAGGATCTGATAAATTCCCTTTATTTTCACACCCCAATACTAACACTTCATTTGAGATAATCGAAAAATCAACTCAAAATCTCAGTGCACACAGACACTAGAATGACCAAAAGTGGAGTGAGAACTTGAGGATCAGAAGTCTTCCTTTTACTTTCACATCCCCACACTGAATATTTCATGATTTATTAAAAGGAAGTTTTCAAAATTGAATTCAAAATGTCAGTCATCAACTTTTCATGTGGACAACATGTTCAATTCTCGAGTGTAAAAATGTAAAATAGAAACTTACTGATATCCTGCAGATGGATGTGAACGACGTTGTACTCACTGAGGGTGCTAGCCCCTCTAGCTGTACTCTCCATATTATTCCATGATAGCTGCAATCCATTATCGTATCCATCGTCATCGTAATGCATTATATTATGGTTGTCTATTCTTCGACGACTAGCTAGTGTCAACCTGAAATGAGCAGAGGCTCCCTCCGTCTCAACATATCCCGTGAGATATGGAGACCCAATGAATGACATGTCATCGGCTCGCTTATACTGACCCACTAAAGTATAAGAACATGTTCCGAGGCGTAGAAGTCAAAAGATAGACAAGTGTTATTATTCTGACATGTTCTGACTGAACAAATGCTCCTCTGACCAACTGGTAGTAAACCAGATCTTCCGATCTGAACGTACACACAAATATTGAACACAAGATGGTGCTATGAGTTCTCATTTCCAAGTGCCACTTGGCCTCGATATTAATGTTCTGCACAAACTCATTCCGCCTCGTCAGCGTATCCCGATATCCCGTATACCTGCTATGGTTATCAGTAGGGATATACGGTACAGGGTGTATAGAATATTTAGTGATGAAAATAATAAAAGAGTTATGGTGAAATAAAATAGTTACACGAGATGAAATGCTCCTGCTGACAATTGGGGCAACTCTGTTCATCCTAGATCTCTCAGTTGTGAGACCTAGTTCAGAGAAATTACTAGTTAATTTGAACACCTACTCAGGAAAATTCGAATAATTTGGGAATCATAATATTGCTGTGTTCAATATATTTATTTATTTCGATAGCACCATGTTTATTGAAAAAGGCCATATTTAGAGGAAATAATGCAATTACTAGATGCTTCAAAACCATATTAAAGCACATATCATTGAATTTGTGCTATTCTTTCATTTCTAGTGTATTATCTCTTGTATTTGATGGAAGTGAACAAACTGAATTATTGTGCTTCTGTCAGGTTAAATGTTGCATTTATTGAACGAACCTTTTTCAAAATTTATTTGATTTTTCAGGTGATGATGCTCTCACCAATGTAGCCGATTTCGTACTGAGAGCACTGGACACAATTCCGCACAAAGAAAATCCAAAAAGTACATGAATAGAGAAGGAATTCGAGAAGCTAGTCAACCTAGTCAAATAGGAAAAAAACATGTTACAAATTGCTGTTGATCTATTTATTATCTATTCATATATTTATTTATTTATTGTTTTTATATTATGTAAATAAATCGTGAGCCATATTCGCTTCGTTCATGATTTTATCAATAACTTTTAAGGTACCTATACCTATTATACAAAGTTTATTGTTTAAAGTTAAATAACGTCATGATGTCTAAAAAATTGTTTACCTGATTGAGACAATTTTCCTCGACAGAGGAAGGAATAACTGTGTAGGTTATTAATTATAGCGCATCATACAGTTATATAGGGTGAGCCAGGAGAAACATACCAAATTGGAATGGTTTAAACATTAAATTAATTTGAAGAACTCAAACGTCTTATTTTCATTTAGTTGAGCTTCAACAAAACAAATATTAAACAGTTCTTTCTGATAATGAGACACAGTGTCGATGCTAATGTATTCAATAAGTTATTTGAGAAATACAAATTTGTCATGATGAAAATTAGTTACGAACTGATTTTTTATTTTTACATGACACTCCTTAAATTTGGCTCGTTCCTCCAGACTCACCCTGTATCCTGTATGGATCCATGAACATTTCAGAATACACATTTATATGCAGTTTCCAGAAACGTGAACAGAACGAAAATCTATCAGCAAATATCAAAATAGTATGAAAAAGATGGTCTATTATCCTTTTCGGACATATTTGACTGTTTTTTTGTTAACATCTTGAGTGAAGAATTCATTAGAATGTGTCATGAAATACTACCAACAAAATATTTACGAATAGTATTTTTTGTACAATGTCAAAATAATATGTAATATTTTTTTAGTTTGAATCAAGTGAATTCTAGATGATAATTCTTTAAACTTTGACAAGAATTTTCTTCTGAAATGTCGAATTTTCGAACAGTTGATAATAAATATCACAACTTCATTTGTTCACGGTAGAAACCAATCAATTAATGCCGATATTTCTGACAATTGCACAGAAAATATTATTTCTCACAGATATCCTGTCTTCTTGTCTAGTCAGCTCGCCAGATTGAATTCTGTTTGGAAAATTATCACTTTATAAATAACTATATTTTATCATGAGAGTGGCCAAAGCTACATGTGTGAAAAATTGCTATGATATCAATAATGATGACTTTAAACATTCTATCAGTCAAAACTGATTCTGAATGACTTCGCAAACAACAGTGCAAGTATAACTGACTTGAGAAAAATAAATAATTGATGAATCGTTAATAATAAAATAAGAGCTATCTGATCATGTACAGGGTTGCCTAAATTGAACACTTTCATCGGGAAAGTCGAATTTTCAAACTAGACAGACGAAAATTGAGGTTAGTGGCCAAGCTAAAATTTTATGAAAAACTCAAAGGTACTTTTCGCAGATGTTCCATAGTTTTCAACACATCAATAATTCTTCATTTGAAAAAATCATTCACGTGAAATTCAATAGTTTTAATAGCAAAAAAATTTAATCACATAGGATACCCACATAGAGCTTGTTATCGCCATTCCAAAAATATAGCACGCTCGATATTTTGAGTTTCATTGTAAATAATGTGATCTAATTACTGCTGTGGATCGCTTAATTTGAATTTCACAGCAAGCAGTGAACTTTTATATTACATTTTTCATAGCATTGTTCGAAGTCTACTTTTTTACGGTGTCCGCTTCAAAGGCTCTAAATACGTATGGAAAACTTGAAATCTCTACATTTCAAAGATCACCTAACCTAACCTAACCTATTCAGAAAAAATATTAGTGACTATTTCACCTTTTCTTTCAAGAACCAATCAGAATGCACCATTCTCACGGTACCTCCTGCATTAAAGCGGTATTTTTGTTTACTAGAAAATCATTGGACGCACTCTACCAATACAAAAGCCGAATCGACCCACACGTGACCAACCAACAACGTATTTCAACGATAATATTTTTGACACTTGTAACATCTATTATAATCACTTAGTATGCAATTTTGACGGTATGGAATACAACTCGTGATACTTTTTTTCCTGCAAATATTCGTCGATTGACAATTCCCGCTTGCTGCCTTAATTTCTCTTGTGACATTGTTGGAAAACTACGGCTTGATAGTTTTCATAAATGATCATTTGGCAACAAGCTGTCTTAACAATTGCCGAATATTTCCGACAGTCAGTTGATCATGAAAAATCAGTTTTCAATATAGTTTGAAAATAGGACTACACTTCTAGTAGTGTCCAATTCGAGTCACCCTGTACATCAGGAATGCCGCAAAAAAACTCTAATTAAATAAAATAAATCCGCTGTCAGAATCTATTATTAAAAACAGATACATCCTTATGTACAATGAAATCGAAGGAAGAAACCAAGATTCGTATTTTTTTACATGTTCACCGGGACGAACTTTTGTCCCTTCTCATATCACCTGCACCCTTTTCGTCCAGCCGTTGGTGGGGCGGCAGTTTATCGAAGAAGGGATGCCGCAGCGCCTCTTTCAAGGTCACCCGTTCCGAGGGCTCGTACTCGAGCATTTTGAAGATCAGATCGAACAAAGCATTGTGGTCGGATTCGTCGGTTTGTCTGTATCTCTGGAATAACAAGAAAACGCCATTGATGCTACGTCAATAAAGTGCGGAAAATTATTTAGATTATTTTTATATTGTTAGGAGACTACAGTATGCGGAATAGACTTCGCGCCGCTGGTGGATCGCAAAGCCCGATGCTGTTAGAATGTCTCAAGTCAGATATGAATATCGGCAGGTAGCCCGACGCTAGAAGTATTGTATAGAAAGCCATAGAGTACCTATTGTAAAAATAGTGATTGTGAAATAATAAATCAGCTGAAGGTGTTTTTATTAAAAAGAGAAGTAATTATTGTGATCCTGCATCATGTATTGTAGACTGTAGTGTTTGAATCTGAATAAATCGTTGTTTTCTAGTGAGTGTTTCGGAGTGACCGAACCCGGACGCTTATCTTAACAATATCCTATGACTAAAACGCGAGCTAGTATTCGCGATAGAGAATAACACGTCGCCTCAACTTTGAGCGGTTTGTTTGGATTGATGTGAGCGACAAGCATAACCAAAACTCGAATGTAAACAGATCCAAATAATTCCTACCTCAAGTTAACATCGTTTGTCGGCGAATTAAAGAGACATAAACTAGAAATCAGCATCTCCAATAACTTCTCTGCTAACCGAGACAAACATGACATGAACTGCCAGGGCAATAATTCTATTAAATCATTTCAGAATGTGAAGAAATGTAATTGTCAACTCTTGATATTGTGACTAGAAACTACAAATTTTCTCCAGTAAAAAGAATTAGTTCCTGAGATTTCCACTTGTGAAGATGTAGCTCTAGCAAAATACGTGAATAAGATCACAACAAATCAGTAGCTTGACAAGTTTATGTCTGTGGTTATATTTTGGAAGTAGTGAAAATTAATAAATGAACTTACAATAAGTGGTTTACAGTTGTCTCTCACATATCTACCAGCTGCACTTTTTTCATCCCATTCGAGTTTCCCTCGATAAAAATACTTGGTTTTCGTCTTCCTAGCCATCCTAAAAATTAACATTCATCATTGCAACAAGGATATTCAATAACGACACCCACACACAGCCAAAACCTACTATCTAGAGTGTTATAATGTCATATCTCAACAACCTGAAAATCTCATCCATTTCGTTCGTCTGAAAACGCTTCCGCTCTAAAAGCGTATCAACATCTACACTGACTTATGTATGACTTATTAATTCGAATTAGAGTTCCTAAATGAACTTGACACTGCAGTTTTGACGTTTTTCGTATATTAGAGTGCAGACACACAGCTGTTATTGCTGCCATATCATTAGTTCATTTATTAATCACTTATTACCTACCACCCTTGTACAAGTGAAATTGTTCCATACGAAATGAAAGTATGATTCATTTTTTGAAATTTATCAGTATTTACCCCGTTCTGAACTTTTGTGATAAAAAAATATTCAACTGAACATATATATATACCTACATATAAGAGACTTATTTCATAGGAATAGTATATGTATTTCGATGGTAAATATGTACATACCAACTTGATATCGACCGCTATTGCAGGTCCTTCAGTCTTTTCAGTCAATATTTCGAGAAGAAATAATTTTCAAATCAATTTATCATACCTTTTTACCCACTCGAGGAGACGCTATGCACTCTCATAACAAAAATCAAAGAGAAAGATATATGGATAAACTCTTCCCAGGACTTGTGGAGGAAGGAAGATGCCAGGATCCTTCATCTAAACAAAAAACATATTCTTGTCCTTGTCTGGCAAAACATATGATGTGCGGTTTGTGGTTATGTTTTGAAATTGAAGCTGTCGTAAGTCAGATACATAACACATAACCTGAAAACCGAAATCAATAATGAAATTTTGAAATAGAGGATTATCTGTGAGAACTTGAGAATAGTTGAATATTTAATTGATAATCAGCAGATGATGCACGGTGTTTGTCTTTCACAGATGCTGAACCAGTCCAGAGAAATAGATAATAATCTGGAAATGATTATTTTTCTCGAAAATTTCCAACATCCTAAAGTGGAAAATTATGCACCATACCCTCATCACACTCCATTTTTTAAGCTATATAGCCAATTTCTCAAAATTAATATTTATAACCACAAACGCTCAAACCATCAAACTTCCAGGTTTTCCCACTCTTCCACTGGTTTTCCTGGTTCGAGCACGGTTCAAACTTGGTGACGTCATAACTTGTACAAGAAAATGCTTTATTTCAAATCGTTTTGAACACGGTTCAACAAGAAAAAACAACTCTAGTGTTCGTACTCTGATATACAAAAAACGTTAAAACAGCAGTGTCAAGTACATTTAGGAACTCTACTTCGAATGAGATTTTCGAGTTGCTGGAAAATGACATACAGCGGTCTAGATCGCAGTTAACGTCCCCGCACCCACCTCACTGGTATCTCCCCCAAAATCCTCTGCATCATGGCCAGATGCTCTCTATTATCGTGCGTCTGGAAGAGCGTGATGCCCAGATAGAGCTCGAACAGGATGCACCCAATCGACCACACGTCACACGGCTGCGACCATCCCAGTTCCAGGATGACCTCCGGCGCCCTGTAGTGCCTCGTCGACACTATCGTGCTGTGATGCTCGTGGTCGAAGGTCGCGCTGCCAAAGTCTATCAGTCTGACGTCAGTTCTCTTCACCCTCCTGACGTCTCTCCTCTTTTCAACAGTTAAATTGGTCAAATTAGATTCTTCATTGGTCGAATTAGTACTTAGTATAGATTCGTGTAGTGTAATCAATCTGTTAGGTATATTGGAAATACCAAAGGAAAAATTCTTTACCAATAGCTAAAATCAGATCAATTACTTACAGGTATGCACTGATGGTGACTTAACAGTCGAAAGCGCTCTGTTACAAGTAATACATTTGAATAAATTATTTTGCACGAAATACAACACTTCCCTTCTTTGGTATATATACACGTGCACACAGCCAAGCAATCCTCACTCATATTGGAAACACTCCATATAGGAGTGTCATGATAGTGACTGCAGATCTCGTGTCAAATTCCATCTTACAGGGCACATCATTTATCTTGATATAACAAAAATATTTGCGAGAATATGGTATTCGACACACGATTAAATATTAAGTTTGTTTATATCTATGGCAACGTATATGCCTTAGATGAGTAAGATGAAATTATTAAGTTGACAGTGAGCTTCATGCTACCGGCCCTAAGGCTCAGAAAACAAATTTGAGGCATTGACATTCTCTGGTCCATGGGGTCTAAGTACAGTCGTATTCAATAAAAAAGCGTACAAAAAAAGAGTTGTGTAAAACCGATTCTTTGTGTTTTCGATAGCCTATGACAACTTTACAGTCAACATTTGATGAACAATCATTCCCGAAAGCCCATTTTATGGAGAATAGGATAACCTTAATTTCTCTCTGTAATATACTTGCACGCTTTTTTTTTGAATCCGACTGTACCAACGTAGTAGCATACTGATTTTGATTATCGTCGAGTTCGACTTGCAGGGAATGAGTAACAGCTTGTCTTTGTGTCAATATTTCGCTTTCCTTCCTAGTTCAATTTCTCATACTGAAATATTCTCTGCAGTTACTATCATAACAATCCTATATTGTGTATCCAATATACCTAACACAATTGTATGGTGGTGTACCACAAGGATCAGTATTGTTGCCTATTTTATTCCTAAATTATACGAATACTATTGTAACTTTGAAGTTGAAAGGTGAAATTTTTGTTTGCTGATGACACGAAGGCCGCGCTGCCGAAGTCTATCAGTCTAACGTCGATTCTCTTCACCCTCCTGACGTCTCTCCTCTTTTTGACAGTTGATAGATCAGCTAAGGTGTTTTATTGGACAAGTTATTACACTCTAATCCTATGAAAACCCAGTTAATGTAGTTTGATAAATTTTCTGCGGTGTACCACACGGATCAGTAATGGATCCAGTTTTATCTCTCATGTATATAAACTCTTAAGTCTATTGCAAATAAGTTGAAAGGAGAATTTCATGTTTGCTGATGGCACAACCTTAATTTATTCAACAGGTCCGCCACAACAAATCAGGAATACGATTTCAAGTGATTCGATAATATTATTATCAAGATTAACAAGTTATAAATTGAGATCAACATTTGATAAGTTATTCCAATCACGTGTATTAATGAAATTGTATTTCGACAAACATTTAAGGAAGCTTTTTTTTCATAAAAATAACTCATGAATCACCAATGTTTAGGAAACACCCTGTATAAATAAACTGAGTAAGCAAAACATGTTTTCAACAATTTTTGTAGAGAACGTATCGTTCGTAAAAATTTTTCAGTTAGAAACGATGGATTTCAATGTAGAAAAGGCCGAGTCGATTCAAATTTCAACAGAGCTTAGAGAGAATAGACTGAGTGTTTTCAATCTATGCCCTAACCTTGAAATCTGATCTGTTAGCGTTGAATATAAATTCCCTAATAACTATTGAACGATTGTGATGTTTCTTTTAGAAAACAAAAACCTACGATCATTACCTTTTTACTATTGTACACTAAATCATAATCGGATTCGACGAAAAGAATGTTTTCTGGTTTGAGATCCGTATGGGTCAGTTTGTTGTCGTGAAGAAATTTGACAGAGTAACACAGCTGGTACGCTATGTGCCTTACTTGGTCTATAGGGTAAGGCTGGTAATTGTTGTCTTTCTGGAAATAAAACGAAAATACTCAATCTCCTAGTCGATATACATTAAATGTGTGAAATGGCAAGTAAAAAAGTTATTTATGTACTTCGTATATCGAACAAAATAAATAAAACTTTCCTCTATCAAAATGCAATTAGTTTTCAAAATAAAATAATGCCTAGTCAGTTTCCTGATTATAGTAACGTAATTTTGATCACAGGATGCCATGAAATGATGAATCAACCTGGATTCGCGACCATCTGATACGTCTTTTGAGTAATACATGTTGACAAAAAAAAAGTATTCGTTCATTCTTCTCCCAAAATACTTGGGTGGGGACAATTGAAATATGACACACTGTATGCATGATTAAAGAATGCAATTTGCAAAAATTCAAGTGATAAAATTAGTTCTACTAAGTAGTATAATTCGAAGAGACGATGATAAAATGAGAATTTCAAATTTATATTTTGTTTATTAACGCTCCTATGGATATTTATACTTCTTGGCGAGTATCGAGAATTTTTAAATAGAGATTTGCTACTGTGTTTTGATTTATCTTTTTTAGATGACTATCTCTGTACGTCACTAGTGGAATAATCAACTTCAACATTGGAACGACAAATAAATGACGATAACGGAAATGATGAATCATTTTGGGGATTTTTTGACAATCTGCCATTCTCGTACAAGACCAAAATATGTATTACTTACCTTCTGCTTTTAAGTGATCGTTAAATTTGAAATGTTTTCAGATCCAGTTGAAAAAACTATAAGAACTTTGAAATATTTACACAGCATTCATACATTAAAGTAGCCTTTGATGTTGATGAGAATTTATAATTATGTACGAGTCAAAAAACCAATTTTCAATACAATGTTCATGAAATTGAATTAAAATTCGAAATATGTTTTTGCCAGAATTGTGTTCTGTTTCATTTGCTTTGAAAACAATTGTATGAATATGGATGATTATTGAACGAACCCTTACCAAAAAGTCGAAGACACTCAGTCCTAGCATTTCAAAAGCTATACACATATGTCCATGGTAATCAAACCAATCCAACATTTTCACGCAGAGACTGAAAGAAAAAGAAAAGTTTCGACCTTTTATAACATTATCATCATCATTTCTCAGATCAATATCTTCTCGTGAAAAATAAAATGCTATGATTTCTGTATTTATTTGTATAATTTCCATTTTGAAGTTCATAGAAATCAACAATTTTGATTATTAATATCCCAAAAGCACCCTGATTTTCAACAATCAAAGAATCTGATTTGCTTGGAAGATATAGGATAAATGTTCTCAGATAATACAAAGAAACAAACTCGAATCCGATTTTCTCTAAATGATGAAGGGGATTTCATATAAAAAATGTGACTGCTGCTTTTCGTTTCTTTGCATTTTCTGAGACTTTTTCCCGTGGTAAGGTATATATTTCTTCACACCATCAGAAAGAAGAGATTTCAACGAACAAGAAGCCTATCGACTTTTTTTGAAAAAGCACATATTATGATTCGAGAATTTTCCATGTGAAATTAGGGTGCAAATTTCGCGAGAAAAAATTTCTTTTTTGTAAAAAATAAAAATGAAAAACCAAAAACTTGTTTATTTGAATTTTTCACAAAAATTGTCAAGTTATGTGGAAAAAGTGTGATATTCTCTTCCTTAATTATATGTAAGTTGAAGAATTTTTCTGTCATACAAATTATGAAGGGCACATCCGGACATTCATCATGCATCAAAACAATGTTGGCAATACATTCTACTAGAAATGGAACACACAACACCCTGTATATAATATGATTTGCAGAAAGTCCACTGATATTCCCCTATATTTATCTACCTTTTTTTAAAGAAAACATGGCTCATAAAAATATTGCTTATACTATACAGGGTGTCATTGAAATAAATAGAAATATTTCAAACCCAAAGGAAGACCGACGTATATTACCGAATGACACCAAAAAGAAAATCATGAAATCAAAATAAAATTTGGGGTGAGACCCCTTTTTCCACAAATGTTCTATAGCGTAGATATTCTGATGTCACCTTTATATAAATCATTACGCGGAATTCAATTATTCAAACTGTCTTGAAATGGCATACTTTTTTTTAAATTTTTTTGTTCAATTTATGAGATGAAATTTAGCGTTGATTGGAAGAATTAGGAAAAATCAGATGTTTTGGGAATATTCATTAGACTGTATCATATTGATGTGCTGAATATGTGCATTCATTTCAAATTTTCGAAATAGTCCGTCGTCTGGTTCACCAGAAAGATGTATACATATTATTTATTAACTTACTGTGCACAATCACTATCCTTGTCGGCTAATTTTTCCAGAACGTTTATTTCTAACTTGGCAGCTTCCCGGTATTTTTCCACATTTTTTATTACTTTCAAAGCCATCACATGAACCCTGCAAAATAACATTCTTCTTGGTATGAAAATATCAACATAAACAAATGGCGACAATAAACCATTGTGAGATAGATTTTTGTCTTTATGATTCAGTAATAACCTATATCTGCTCTACTCACATTTCCAAATCTTTAACTTTAACCACTTTTCCGAAAGTTCCTTCTCCAAGTGTGCCAAGAATTTTATCTGTAATCAATATGAAAAATAACATACAGTTATATCATGTTAGTAGGGAGGATTTGTCTTATAGTTCTGAATATACTTGTTTCAACAGAAGCAGGTAGATACTGAGATTATGTTAAAAACTTGAATTTATTCAAACAATTTCTCAAATGAATTCAAAGGAACACCTAGTACTGTAATACATTCCAAATAAGAAAACAGTAGTTGGCGCTGTCTCTCAACTAATTTTCACGTTGTTGAACTGAGTACGACGCCTCATTCAAGATCAAGTTAACCGCTTGAATTAAGCTTTGCTCTTAGGATTTATTGTACCAACAAATTAGACAAAAAATTAATTGATTGTGAGCATCTTCCCACAAGGAGTAACACTAAATTCCAGTTAAGAATAAAGTAGATGGCATTGACAGCAGAACCCGTATTACACTAGTCAACCCGCCAATTACACCTGGATATTATTAGAGATTTGTGGTGAACTCATTATACATTTCGAGAGGTTGATTTGCAGAATACAACAGAATCAGTTAATGACAAAATATGAATATCGACAGGCTATACATAGCTGCCAATTATCGAACTAACCACTCCCATTGAGCCTGACGTCTCGACCAATGGAAAGCGAGATCAAACACTCACTATCGCCTTATTCTTAACTGGAATGTGCTACAGCAGAGCCAATCAAAGCGAAAATCAACGCTTTCTCATGGTTTTAATGTTGAGGCTGTCTTCTTAGTTGGAATGTACTAGATATCTTTAAATACGAACATCTTTGTTGGATGAGATCTCCTAATCTGTACACCAGATGGCCTTCGTCGTCATCTTCTATCGAGGCAGCTTTCGGCGGACTCTGTCGGTCAAAATCGCAACCAATTCAGCAGCAATGTCAAGGTGATCCGTGGATGGAACCAGATCGAAAAAAGGCAAAGATATGTCCAAATGAATCAATGATCTGACGAGTTCAAATGAGGAGGATATTCCGCGAAATTGTGTCTTGAATCATATAATCATAACTTCAATTATGAATTATGAAGAATATTGATGATGAGGATGAATGACTATACTTACAGGTGTCCCTGTCAAGAACCTTTCGGAGAATGGGAATGTAAATTGGCCTACAGATGTTATGCAAGTCATAGTAAAAGTATCTTCCATGTTGTAGACACAAATTGCGACATTTCATTTTTATCTATCCGACTACGACAATTTGAATTTGATATCCGACAAGAAAGATTTTTCAAGGTAGGAATGAAAGAGTCCCAAATTGGAACCTTGAGGAACCCATCTCACAATGGTTGTAGTTTAAACTCACAATCCACAAAATAAGAATATCCTGTGGTGGTACATACTAGTACTATTAGTCAATTATTATTGTAAGACAAGTACTGGATGAGATACGGTGTAAAAATGAATAACATCAATGTTTACATTTGAAACTTCAATTCATCATATTCTGTCGAATGCTCAGTCCATTATATTTACGTATTGGAATTTCGTTATTGTTCAACTTTTGCTGCTCGAAATATAACATTCAAACAAAAGTTGTTATGTTCATTCAATTCATTGAAGCGAAAGATATGCTGTAAACATTATATTTTTTACACATATATTTATAATGTCTTGATTATTTGCATATATTATGTTATCAGTTATCCAATATAAACTTCATCTTTGGTGCCACAATAAGCTGTTATTCATATCGAACTGATTATTGAAAGATGTTGTTTATTATGATATAATTTCCGTTGAGATAAGTCCCGACGAATGCATATGATGGTGTGAAAGACATGTATGATTCGGTAATTCCGAAAATAGAACTTTTATACAGAAATAACACAGACTTTTTACAGATGCTCCGGTAAAATCTGAAATAGAAAACTTATTTTTATGGTACATCTGAATATTTTTTTGCATCATGACACAACTGCGGATCACACTCATTCATTTTTTTTTGTAAAAAAATATAAATTTCTATGAGACTATTCAAATTACAGGTGTATACGCAAAGCATTTGAATTCTGGGGTATTTTCGTAATTCTTCGAGTTTCGAAACGGACACCTTGTGAAAAATGTATATTAGATTACCAAACCTAGAGATGTGGACCTTTTTTTCCAGCACTGTCCCATTTCGAAAATATGGAATATCAACTATTTTAATCTCTCACTATTCAATCAAACAGGTTTTCTGATACCTACTACTTTGAAATTTTATGCTTAATAAAAAAAAATAAAAATGCCCAAATTTGGTGTCTATGGATGTAGTTGTTGAAAATGACCAAAAAATAATAAAAAAATTAAAAAAATTAATAAAAGTTCAACTTTTTTCTGTGAAAAGTTAATCTGCGAATACTGTTTCAACTATTGCAAGAAACACAACAATAACTAATAAGCCAAAACAGCTACAGGAAATATGTTGTTATGAAAAAAAATTATCATCTTCTTCAGTTGAGGACTGAGATGCTGCATTTTCAATTCCATATAGATTCAGTAACCCAGAAAGCAAATTCAACTGAAACGACATAGTTTTTGATCGAATGTGATGTAAGTAATCGAAAATGTTTGCAGAACACAAGGTGATCTATATAAGGGTACCAAAAAAGGCGTATAAGTCTGTCATTTGAAAAAGTTCCTGTGAAGTTTCAGAGTGAATTTATGACATATATGCGAACAAAAGCCACCTGAAACTGCCATGTGGTAGTGCAGTGTGCAATGATAGCGGGTTCAAAGAGTTTGACCGCTTCAAATATTTCGTGTTCATCGGGAATCGAGATGGGACTTATGAATCAGTATATGAACATTTCTCGAAGTGTATGGGTGAACCGAATACATTATACAATTTCCTAAAATGTTTTGAACAAATTCCAGAACAATTCTGAACGGTACAGAAAAGTTGACAACGGATCATGTTGATTGAGGAGCCACTGAAAATGTGATGTGATCGTCCTGTCGCAAAATAAGGTTTGGCCAATTATTTTCGATTCAAATGCAAATTCCGAGAGTTATTTTTCCAACAGTGAAACGATGAGGTGTATGTTTGGTTGCCTATACCACAATCGTTCGTTAACAGACAAATTGATCATTGATAGGGGTCATTAATGATCAATTTTGTGTTCATTGATCAAACTTGTAAATGCAAAGTCGAGGGAAATGGTATTTCAATTCTCTATTTTCTCGATTTGTGTTCAAATTTGAAACTATTTGAACTTCATTTTGTGGGGACAACCCACTGATTAATTCTTAGTATTGTTATATAGATCACCCTGTATTCAAGAGTAGAAGCTGTGTTAAACAAAAACAATTTGCAAACTTCATAAGGAGGATTGGGAACAAATAATTATCCACGATATATTGAAATCAAGAAATCGTACAATTTGCATATCATCTCGGCCTAATTTTGACAAAATTTCATATCGAATTAGACAACATCCTTTGGATCGAAAAATATCGAATCATCGATTATCAGAGCCAACGAAGTTCATGGAAATAGAAAAGATGATGCACAAACAAGAAATGCCAAGATAAGTTCGATAGAGTATTAATAGCCTCAAAACTGTCACTAAATGGACCAACTGCCAAGTTGTAAACCACCTTGAAACTTAACTAATTACCACTTGTGTATGTGATCATAATCTCAGAAAAAACTGTAGTATGAAAAATTTGCATAAAAGGTAATATCTTGACGATGAAATTACCCGCGAAATAGAGACAACTTGAAATTTTATTTGTAGTTTCATTAATTTAAAATTTACGTTCAATGATTTGACATGCCAATTTTTGGTATTCTTTGAACACTGATTACATCAATATGAGACTGGTAATAATCTCAGGAATTATTTAAAATTCATCGAAACTGAAAAATTTTGTGAATAAATAATCGAAATGTATATGAAAACACTTCAGTGGGGACACAGATAGTATATTTTCAAGATGATATTCCCATCATAATAGTACCTACAAAATTTCTAGAATTATTCACTTTTGATAGCAAATTTATTCAAATTATTTTGTTGAAATGAAAACAAAATGGATACTTATCAAGAGTTTTGGGAATGAATATCCCACGCATATGTTGGACAATGTGAATGATTGTTTCGTGTATTTAACGTTACATTAGCTTGTTGGCACAGAATGTACAGTAGTAGTAAACAGGGTAGTGACTTTAAAAAACGAGAATTTCTTTCTTCTGATGACTCTGGTTAGGTTTCCATAGGTTCCCTTGATGCAAACTGACGTATTTGTCATCTAACAGGGTACGGTATAGATCATAGCTCCTTTCTCTTTCAATCATCTAGTGACTTTGGTTTCGTGTATTGGCGTCCCTGACATGACATTGCTGTCACGTCACATTCATAGGCGTTAAAAGAGATCTTACAAAATTTCAATTTCATACTTGATCTTAATACGACATTATTCAATTCTGTTTTGGAAGGATGGTAAAATGTGCTGCGTTAGGCTGTATCAATCAGTTGGATGGCAAATTCGAATTTGTCAGCTTTCCATCAAATGCAAATGAACTTAGAACATGGAAAGTGGAGTGACCGGATGGGGAAAATTGGTAAATACATCAGCAAAATATTCGAGGTGAAAGTAATACGAAATCACATATTGTACCTTCTCATTGTGCCTATAATTATCCACTCCACAAGTTTTTGAATGCATTTCAGTAGAAACAGTTTTGATTGAAACGGAGGATTAAAAGAAGAGGCATATGCCCTATACCATTTGAAAAATTATGCCCACATTCAGGAAATATTAAGTGTTCGTGAAAAACTGCAAAAATGATTCACAACATGAATATATACAGCACACATGACATATGAGCACATTAGTTTAAATACCTACATAACATTTTTCACCATTACTCAACCATAAGGCTTAGTCTGATATCAAAATTCATGTATTGATAGGTACTGCCTAAGAACAGTCCTATTTGGTAAAACGTATTATTCTTTCAGAAAAATTTGCTCACTGTCTCACAAAGATTATGGTGGAGTTGAAAAATCAAAAACTCGAAAAGTATCATCATCAATTGGATATAATATGTAGAGTTGAATGAGAAATTACATGTGGAAATTACATATGATACGCCATGTCCTCAATAACTAAAAAACAACAAATGTCAGAAATCTAGTGTTTATCCCCAGACATGAATAAGGATGGAACTATATAACTGTTTCACAAACACTTTAGAGTGAGAGGAGACGAGGATCTGTCCGTACCCTGTTAAGATGACAAATACGTCAATTTTGGTTGAAAGTTTTCGAAATCTGGAATGTCCATTTCTATCAGAAATAATCAGGCGGCAAACGATGACGTAATTGATTAATCTAGTGTGAATAAAGGTATATGATACGTTTGCTGTTAGTAATTGAACATCCGAACAAGTCTGAACTTAAAACAAAGAGAAAACCAGATGAAAACGCATGACCTTCTGGATGAGAAACATAAACAATTCAATAATACTCAGTCATTTGACTTAAGCCATGCTATTTACAAAGTCTGCAACATCCATCTAGAGTGATTCTTAATGCTATTTTTAGAAGCTTTTTGGCTGCAGCCAATCCCGAAGTGACAAATAAATATACGGAAAATATAAAAAATGAGACATTAAAACGCATAGGAATCTTATGTGAGATAATTCTGATATTGTGTTTCAGCCAATCCTCCCTACAATGTTTGCAATTCATAGGTGACTTTTCTGAAATACAGTAATCTCAAAATGGATCAGTTCAGTTTTATTTTTACCCAGTCAGTCAATGTTGCATGATACAAATAAACGACTGTTCAAGATTATACTTCATCACAAATCAACATGAAACTCGAAACTCATTCAATAATTCCATTTGTTTCCGCGCTATTTGGGTCAACATCGGTCACAATGTTAAAATTTAAACCTGTCCTATATTCAATCTGTATGAAACATGGAATTAAAAATAATATCGAATACCTTGAGAACACATGAAAAACAAGTCGTATTTTTATAGACACCTGTATTTCAGAAACAGCCCTTCATTTTGGTATTCTAAAAACTATTTACGAAAACTACGAAGATTATAGAGGGTGTTTGAAAGCATGAACAGGATAAAAATATTATTTCTTCAAGAATTTCTAACCCGCACATGAAGATGTCATTGAATTCAACAGTTTCTAAATTGAGGATTTTTGATATAACATCATAAACAAAACAATGCTATCATTAATTTACTATAATTTTAATTGAATGTTTACAATCGATGAATGTTACCTGATGAAATTTTCATTAAAGAAAATTAGACAATTCAAAAACTCACTTGGTTTTATATACAACAATTTCAATGTGTAGGGAATTATATAGTTTAGTAATTATTATTAAGTTACTACTCTACACATCAGAGAAGAAAGGAGAAACAATAATTATAATTGTTGTTTCTGAAGATTATTCTGAATTCTGATATATCAGGATTTATCTGACGTAAAGATAATGTTTGATTCGAAATATGAGTATAGAAATACATAATAATATACACTTCCCCAAAAAATCAACGCACCGCCAAAAAGTATCCAAAAGTTGAGATGTATTTTCGTCGAAACTACTTTGTTTTAAAGGATAGGTTATCTTCTTCTAAATATCGGCGTGCAAACTGTATTTGCATAAAAACTTCTTTTTTATGAATACCGGGTGTAGCAATTGTCGCGTGTTATTTTCATGATATTAGTAATATCCTGTCGAGTGTAACAGTTATGTTATCAAGTTGAAATTGAAAGTACACTTTAGTCCTAATTTCAACATTCCTTTTTTGGAGTTACTCCATTATCTTTCCTATTCCTCCAGAAACATAACTCTATTGTATAACATGATTTAATCGAATTCCATCGGCACCATAAGCACGAAAGTAGCAGGCTATGGTCTGGGAAGGCTCTTCGACTGGTCGCATGCAACTTGTGATCATAAATGGAAGCATTACAGCTGAAAGGTACATATTGGTGATTTTAGGACCACATACCTATAGTGAAAGGATTTTTGTTGATGCAAGATAATGCCAAACCTCACGTCGCCCGAGTTTTGAGAAATTATCTAGTCTGTCTGTATCGCTACCATGGCATTGCCAGCTCGGAGCCCGGATTTAAATCCCATTGAGAATCTCTGGGGCATTCTTGGGACAAGATAACTTGAACTAACTATATGGTACCGGGTGACCAGTTATATTCTGACCCATTTCAAATACTCATATCTCTGAAACCATTCAAGTTATCGTTGTGCGGTTTGGACTAGTCTATTTTGATGTTTTTCAAGTTTTTTTTGACGTGTTCATCTCACTTGAACTTCCGGTTCTACCGTAAACAAACAAGCAATAATCCAGGTATAGAGCAACTATTTCATTTCATCGAATCACCCTGTATATTTTTGCACATTCAGAAAGACTGGTCTTTTCTTTATCTAACAATGTATTACAAGTTATGTTCTCCTAGAAAACTATTAGAGTTATAACTCTTTGAAACAACTACTGCTTGTGGAATGGTTTAATGAGATTATGCAATTTTATCAAAGTTGCCCTATACCTGAATAATGGCTTGTTTGTTTCCGGTAGAACCGGAAGTTCAGGTGAAAAGGTGAACCAGTCAAAAAACTTGAAGAATATCAAAATAGAGAAGTCCAAACCACACAACGATAGTTTGAATAGTAGAAATGGGTCAGAATATAACTGGTCACCCGGTATAACAAATTTCAAAAAGAGGTTTTTATGCGAATACAGTTTGCACACTTTTGTTCACTCATTCAAAACGAAAATGTTTCCTAAACTGTTGGATACTTTTTGGCGGTGCGTTAATTTCTTCGAATAAAATGAATGAAATTAAGAAAATTTTGAAAAGCCCCCATTAGAAGAAGCAATAATCATTACTATTTCTCTAAGAAGATCTATAATTTTCTGAATATGATGTTATTTTGAGCAGTAAATATTAAATTTTTCCACCTAGAAAAATTATTTGATAATAATGTGAATCTTAAAGACACACCCTGTATATCTTGACTGAAGCAGCAGCAGCAGCAGCGACACGAACAACAACAACAACAATAACACAGTAGGAACTTACACTATCGGTTAACAACCTGCCGAGTACATTCTCTGGGTTATAAAACGGAAAGACCGCATGTTAGTCGGATTCGAGCGAAGAATAAAGAAAACTCACACAACACCGGCCATCTTACTTACAGCCGACACCAAATTCGGGTAGTATTTCTGAGCGATCGCAGTCACAACACTAGGCGGCGACGCTACACTAGTGTTCGCAACATGTCTCCTCGCACCGGACACGTGCAGTTTGTTGTAGGCCTCATCAAGAGCAGAATACTTCGATATCAGGCTCTGAATCTCCTTTCTCTTCGCCTCCCTCTGCGCCCCCTCCACCGATATCGGCGTAGGAGTAGCCTCTTCGTCCACCTCCACAGGTCCAGCAACAGGTTTGGTGGTCGCTGAGTGCACCGGTACCAAGCCATCTTGAAGGCTGATCTCGACAGGATGCAGCTTCAAGCTAGTAGTCGTCCTTATATCGGACACCTCGCTCTTGCCGGTTCTTTGTGGCTTGGCGGACCTCCTAGGTCGAGAATCATTGTGGTTGGACTTGTGTCGCACCCTATTGCTCGACTGGTTATCCAGGCAGGTGTACTGTGGCTCTTGGTACTGCTTCTTCTGCAATGACTTCCTGCTCTCGGTGCGAAAAGGAGTTTTGTCCCTGTGGGTGACATTGCTGGTGTAGGGGTAGGATTTCTCAGCTAGCAGGACGTTAGCGGTGGTGGAACTTTTTGCCAAGCCCCTACCTCCGAACGATTCGTACTGCTTCTCGGGCCTCTTGCGGTAGATTCTGTCCAGTACGCAGGAGTACTTGTCCTCTAGCCTGTTGATCGTATGGTTGAAGTTGGGTACTACCGTGGAACTCTTGCTGGTGGTCAGAGGAACGAAGCCGGCGTTGCTGGGACTGAAGTTGTCGCTCGTCAGCTGTCTCTCTACCGTGGACGAAGGTCCTCGGACTTTGGTGGTGAGTTTTTGCAAGAGACTGGTGCAAGAGTCGCTGAGGATCTGCGCGACGCTAGAGGTCGTGGAAGAACGTGTGTACCGTCTGTGCGGGGTGTTGCCATAGCTGGGATAGTCGCCAACAGGTTGTCTATTGTTGTATGTTTTGGTGTTCGTCCTTGCAGACGAAGGTTGCGACAGCCACGAGGCGTCATCAGGACTCCTGATCCTGCGGCGTTCGTGGTCCTTCGAGCCGTAGCGGCTGTAGGATAGGCTGGTGCCGTACATCGGTGCTGGGCATTACAAACACTCGCGATCTTTTTGAGGACGTGCAGCGCGCGGGATATCTCCCGAACACCCTGTGAGAAGCGACTGAGGTACGGCGTCGACGGCAGGTCGAGAGCGACTAAAAACTGCGAATCTAAATATAGGCCGGACACGGTGGCTAAGCGCGGTGCTATCCTTGGTCGGGTGCCCGATTTGAGGTGACTACCTATGTGAAATTCTTTTGGATTTATGGGGCCATACATCGTGAGGTGTTAATTTGTCCGATAACAAAAATCAGTCGTAATGAGTAGCATAATTGGGAAGAATCCTGGAGGAGAGGGTTTTAATTTTTATTATTAGTCTTTTATGTTGACTTTCTACTTTCATTACTGTTTCTGGATAATTTTATGTGACGTCACGACGTGGTGACCTAGCAATTACTAGGTTGGAAGATTATCTCATTGGTTATTATTTCTGTATAGCCTTTGCTTTGGATCCGCAGACAATAATCTTCATAATGATTAGATTCATTTGCTGTAATTTTAATCAAAAACCTTCGGAATTAAAAAAAATACTTATTTCTGTTTGGTTTGGTTCAAATTTGAGATCAAACTGGTACATGATTATGTACGTATCTTCGATTAATTATAAAATACATACAGGGTGTACATTTGAAAACTTTCAATACGAATATCTCGCGAATTGAAAGTTAAAAAAACGCTATATGGTACAACGGCTGAAGAGTTAGGGGGAACCACCATATTTTAGTGAAGGCACGAGTCACGAGTCGTTTTCCCAACTTTTTTATTTTGCGAGATATTTGAATTGAAAGTGTTAGAATTTACACTATATTGCTAGATAACATGATGAAGCTGATCCAAGACGATTTTGATGATGATGAATTCAAGACACAAAATCACAGAAAAACATTTAGAGTATTGGCTGTGGTTACGGAGAACACCATGTGACACAGTCATCTCCTATTCTCCTCGATTTTTACAGTTATTTTTTTGAAATTTGTAAAATTGGATAATGCTTTTAAGAGACATTTTTCAAAATACTGGAATTTTTTCAACGACTGTTGTCCGAAAACAAAATCAACTCTTCATTTTTAAATGGAATTCACTGCACATTTTTGAAATACACATAATTTTCTGAATCCATCCTTATCCTGATAGTCATTATTTCAAATGTAAAAATTCTCATTTTATTTCTTGTTCTAGATATCTATGAAACTCCTAATATTATTCCAAATGGTCAAAGTAATGCTGCACATAAACAACAGTTGATAATGATGAAGTCCATATCGATGGTACTTTCGAGTTAAGTACATATTACCATTGACACAATTAGGTTCCAAGGAAAATAAAGACGTTTATTTGGACTTATAGCTTTCTAGATTGGATCTTCGAATGAAATGAGCGTTATGATAATTGAAATAGGTACCTATCAACAGTCTATCAACTATGGAGGAGTATTGTTGAATTCAGCAAATTATGTTGACTTCAAAAATATAATGATATACAAGGCGTTCCATTTACAAATCGAAAGTTGATGTCACTTCCAAGAGAAGAAAAATTGCTGGAAAAAGAAAAATAGGAGAAGGAGGCAGTACCATAAGCATGTATCATGCGGTAAAAATTAGTTGAAAATTATTATTCCAGTTGGAATAGGTATATTTTTTATTCAATTTCTCCTTGAAAGGTTCCAGCTAGAGGAACATTCAAAATAAATTTTTCTCGAGAGTTTCTACTCACCCGATTCTTGGAGTAAGATTTGCGGTTGCGTCTTTTATTACTATCTCGATGTTGCTTCCTTCTTTTCGATGTCGGAGATCTCCTGTGACTTCTGTACCTTCGTCTAGCGCTAGAGTCCGGCTCTGGCGAGTATACTCTGCTAGCCTTTTGGCTACTGAAACCGAAGATTTCGAGGATGTAATACTGTCCAGAAAGAATCCGGGAAGATTCTACCGAAACTAGTGACTACAACTAAATAATTAGATATCGTGTAGTGCGATTTACTACGATGTTTATTTTGTTCGGGACTGAACGATCGATACTATTAAAATTTACTGACTTTCTATTGCATCAATTCAACAAGTTTTATAGAGATACTTGAAAGCAAAACCCCACTAACTGATCCCAATTGGATATTTTTATGCTCGTTGTTCGATTGATTTGATTGAATGAAAAAATCAAACAATAAATACCACCATGTGGTGACGCGTTGGAACGGAAAATGAAAGAAATTATAAAAAAAAGTTTATAGGAACTCAAATGAGATGATACACCAGAAATGATTTCATTGACATAAATAGAACATCTACAGGGTGGTTTTCAAGCAATTGTACATAGAAGTATGACAGATTTTTGACTTTGAAATATCAAGTTGGGTCAACTTGCCTTGAAATATTGCTAATAAGGGTGTCAAAGGTAAAATTGTTTGATATATTTTCGCTATCACTTTGAAGTTTTTGGATATGAGAAATCATAATTCTATCTATCTATTTCAATGTATTTGTGGAATGGATGCGAACTCAACTGAATACGAAAAATATCGAATAAAACATATCACAGAAGTGAAAAAAAAAAGAATGTTTGGCTCTCAAAGTCCGTCTACTACGTTGATATTACCCCTGAAATATTGAATGCGAATTATGCAGCTAATTCCTAAAATGTGATTATCTAAAAAACTGTTTTGTGATTAATGACAAGTATAACTTATTTTTCCTCAAATGATCTTTGGCATTTTTTAATGAAAAGGGCGCTAACCCAAACAACAAACAAGTTGAGTTAGTTGAGTAGCTCATATGGCGCCCTCCAGAAACCATTGAAGTAGGTACCAAATTATGATTTTTTATAGATACCCAAAAGTTCCCAGTTTCAAAATTCTATGTATGTTATCACGTACGGTCGTACGTTATTGCAAAAAAAATAAAATGACCTCTGTAATGTTTTGAGGTCAAAAATCTACCACATTTTCATGTACAATCATTTAAGGACTAATCCATATCGATCATCTATGAGTTTTTGGGATCGATCGAGTGTTCAACACCTAAGTAAATGCTTTGAAGTATCTTCTTGTTGAAAATGGCAACAGTGGTATAGTCAGCTCTTGTCCAAATAAAATTTATAGTGGCGCAAAACGTCTATGTTAGATCGGGAATTTGAGGAAAACCAAACTTAATGGTATAATGAAACAAGTAAAAGCGCTGATAAAATCCTGAAGAACTCATTTTCAATACCGATCAGAAACAAAACATAAGCAGGAACACAATTTCAACGATAGGTCTTCAGTTCAGAAACAGTAGCACTCCAAATGTGAGTCAAATTTATTCAAAAACATAAAATGGAACGACCAATTCAAATGGTTTTTTATACGGTGGCTGAACTTTGGCTCCGAACAGTTTCCATTCGGCTTCTTGCTCTCAGAGTCCCAGGCCTCAACCCTTCTGGACGTCCAACGACGAATTTCAGCCCTTCAGCCCACAAAACTCTGCTCGATGTACAAGGAACAAAGACGGAATACTTTCTCGCCAGGTGTGGATCCTCGATAAGGTTTTTTCTCCTCAGGAAAGCTTGATGAATGGTTCCAGGAAATGGTGATAACAGATTTTTGAGCAAAGTTCTTTTCTAAAAATTATTCATCTAAACCTTTTGGTGACAGGTGGTCATCAAACATCGTATGTGGAATAAATAACTAGAAGCATAAAGATCATATCCTTTGAATGGAGAACAAATATTGGTGATATCATTCTCTTCAGAATCGTCGGGATCGCACAGAAATATTTAACATAATCTAGAAATGATCTAGCGATGGGGACACACTTGCTAATTCTAGACATTACCGTCAAAATGTCTGTGTCGTTCTAACTTTTGATATATTTTTTAATAAGGGTATGTGTGTTTGTAGTGTGTGAGGATAAAATACCGACTACTTTTTTATAAAATTTAAAGCAAAATGAAAAACATAATCAATATGTTCAGTGCAATTTCTCTTGTTAATTGAATGTTCACGATTAATCTTACGATAATCCCAAATTCATAGAGAAATATCATTATTATCAACAAAAAAGTCTTTTTTTTTGGAGATTTCAGTATCTGATGGACATTGGTAACAAAAAGTTTTAACGAGCACGGAATGATAGTCATTTCCCACGAGAATGAAGATCATACGAGTGGGAAATTAGCATTCCGTGCGAGTTATACACTATACTTTTTCTACGGCTGTAACAGATAACAGCGAAGTTTTTTATTTCTTCGGCTTATAGCCATCTGATTTTCTCTTAACTAATGCTCATCTATTAAACAGAGCTGTCATTGCTTGCTGAAATTTGACATTTCATGGGAGATGAGACTTTGTGAAATAATAACACAAAGAGGAAATGAAATTGATGACATACAAAGTACCTCATTGATTTATCGAACACAATAAAACAAGAGCCATTTTGTGCCGTAGAAAATAGTATATTGTTTAACGAGCACAGAATGATGGTGATTTCCTACGAGAATGAAGGTTGAAGCATGAGCCATAGGCGAATCATTCGAGTAGGAAATTAGCATTCCGTGCAAGTTATACACTATAATTTTTCTACGGCTATAAAAAATAACACGGCATTTTCGATTTCTTTGTCTTGTAGCCATCTGATTTCCTGTCAAGTAATGCTCATCTATTAGACAGAGCTGTCATTGCTTCACATTTGACATTCCATGAGCGATGAGATTTTTTTGAAATAATAACACAATGGATCCATTGTGATATCAGATACGGAAATAATATTGATGACATACAAAGTACCTCATTGACGTATCGTACATAGTAAAACAAGAACAGTTTTGTGTTATAGCCGTAGAAAAAATGATTTATTCTCAGGTTATGGTAAAGTAATTTTTGACAGGTGAACATAATCATAACATAACCTGAAAATTGAAATTGCAATGTCATGTTATTATAGATGTTTTGATTCTCTTTGTCATTAAAAAAAAGGTAATTCCCGTTCTTCATTCCCGATGAAAATAGCTAGATTTTTCAATTCTCTTGAAATTAACTTGAAATTTTTTTATAGATACCATGGCAGGAAAGATGAATCATATCCATAAATATTCCTCAGTTATATGAATCAATGATTTTTATGATAATAA